TTTGCACTCAGCATTTATGATATGAACATATTATATTTATTAATGTTTACGATTTTCGTCACGTAGTTTCAGCCAATTTGTTTCGAAATTGTGCGAAACTTTTCAAACTCAACTTATTACAGGGCGAACTTACGAGTTGAGCGGTAAACATTAATAGATATGAATTTGGCCTAAGAAACTTCTGATATAAAAGATATGAACAATGTTTCAGCTCCAATAACTTAGTTTGACTGTGCCAAGTAAATGCTAAGTACTGTTAAAGCTATTTGTTGTGAATGTCACGCATTCTCACTAAAGTTCGCATACTTATTACTATCGCGCCATTTTAGGACACTGAATATAAAAACATATTGACCAACAGTACCCCTGTCATTGTGCGTCCTTTACTTAACTACGTATCGATTGCTAAATCTGTGTATGAAACTGAGCGATACTACATTTCTCTTGATTCTTTGGTAGAGAAGCACATGCTGCCATAACAAACCAATCGGCCTAATTACTGCTTATCAATAATCCCTTCATTCTCTACTAACATATCAGTATTGTCTAATTCCAATCTTTACACGACACTCTTAAATATCAATCACTTTTATACAAATCACTCCCATTAACTACAACACACAGCTTTGTTTACTTAAATTAAAACATTCAATACATAACATAAAATAAACAAAGTTTACATCGAAAATCATTTGGATTTAGTTTCGATTTTAATAAAATACAAACATGTTTACACGACGTTTTACGCCAATTCAGATACTTAATGAAAAAACTAATAATTTCATAAAAATAAATTCGACAAAGCGCCCGTGTACACAAATCTTATATACTTAAAATTATGCGATTTCTATCTTGTCGATATAGATATAAGAGCTACATTTGTACACCATACCATCCCTATAAGGTGGGGCTACGTTACTCAGTGCTTAGTAATACTATTTACCTGATTGAGATTACTTTAGCTTTGGGCAAGTCCTGTGTAGTCCTAGGGGACTGAGAGTATGGTAAGCAGTTCAACTGGGCGTGTCGTCCTTTTTAGTGGGTGTTTTTGGATCCGCAGACGGCGCAGCTGATGAACTTGATTGGGTATCTGCGTCTGAAATAAATAAAAGAAACATAAGAAAGTTGCTTTGAATTCATACTATTCACAGCGAACCAGTGTTATTTAACAAACTATGTTCATAATATATGGAACGAAACACTTGACACGTTATGTAACGGTCGGAACTATGGAGCTGGCAGAATAATTTAGCAACAAACGTGCTAGTGACGTAAGATCGGTTACGAAACACTGGTTTGCAAGGACTAAGTACCCTTGAAATAAGCACTGGCCTTTGACTGAATGACTTCTATCGACTAGATTACATAATACACAACTGCATTGGGTTCGTGACATCGTGCCCTGCTTGTAACTATCAATTAACGTGGAATATTTTGTAGGTACGACAGTGCTAAAGACCTTGAAATACTATTATATTGAATACTAGCGACCCGCCTCGGCTTCGCACGGGTGCAATATGCATGTATTATACAATATACATATAAACCTTCCTTAAGAATCACTCTATTTATTAAAAAAACCGCAACAAAATCCGTTGCGTAGTTTTAAAGATCTAAGCATGCATAGGGACAGACAGACTGCGGATAGCGACTTTGTTTTATACCTCTACTATGTAGTGAAGTGACTAATTTATCGTCCCAAAATAAAAGAAAAAAACTACGATAACATTTCAAAAGCAAACTTTTCGATTTTACATAATAATAATTATGAAGAGATAGACTTCATCTAAATATAGGATTTTTTTTTAAAGGGGGAAAATCATCGAATGACTGCTCCCGCCTGGGTGAGGCGGAAGGGAGTGTCAGACTCTTACTGACTAAAAACCACCCCGTTCCTTCTCCTGCACGTCGAGCCGGAGCCCCGGTTACCCGTTAGGTTCTCCGCGACATCTAAATATAGGATTAGAGTAACATTTTCTTTAAGCCTAACACAAGTATTGAATAATAACTTACTGGGGAGCCTCACATTATCTCAAACAGATATCGTAATTCTTAAATTAATAAACGATTTTAATTTTTTGTATCGCAACGAGGCAACGAGCTTTACACAACCAGTATAAACTGAACGTTAAATGTGCGAAAGATGATGCGACGCGACACCAGAGTAAACTGGTTTTGTATAGATTGATGTGTGGCCGTGTGTACGAGTTCTTCTTGACTTCCATTGCTGTGTTAAGAGTAGTCGAGACTCCTTAAAGATATTTTCTAAGGTGATATCGAGATTAAAATATTAGCTCACTACAAGTCGACTTCAAGGAGCAAAGATTCGTCATAAAATAGTGTTACATTTTGTTAACCGCCCAATTTTATATGAGCTTTGCATGTTTCACAGTAGTTCCTACTAAAATAACTACAATATTAATAGGGCAAATTACAGAATATTTACGAAGCGTGAACTATGCTGTTCTGAATGCGGTCTAGAGTTCTAGACTCTAACATTTGGGTAATAAGGTTTCGTTTACGAAAGTAAATAAAGTTGTATAAGTTTGTGGACTGGATCAGTGACTGCAAGGTCTTACGTTCTTCTTACTGTTACGACACTGAAAGTGACAGTGATATCGATCCCATATTACGTAATGTATAGGGTTACGACCTTTCATATAACAGAAGTCAAATAAAAATCCAATTTAATATTGGCATTGTAATAATGCAATATTGAAACTTAAGAACTATAAACTTGATCGCAATGAACCACAACGAAGGTAAAAGAAATGTATATGCGAATATTAAAATATTATTTTACCAAGCCACTTCTTAACGGAAACGACTTAGATTAAGTATATCCTAATGTATGTCAGGATAATATCTTGATACCCACCCCGGAATCGAATTCGAGATCTCTAGTGCATACGACGTTACTTTCACTCCACCAAGGAGGTGATCAATATTATATCAACCATGAAAATATTTAATTTTGTCTCGGTTAAGGAAGGGACTATCCTCAAATATTTCTATGATAACGATCTAATCATATTTTGTAATTTGTATATTCCGGAAAATTGCGACTACATCTTAAGACATTCCAGCCGCGGTAGGTACTGTATATTTAAAAGAGGGGCAGCAAATTAGATTGTGAGGGGGCGGCAAATTCCCTTATTGAATCATCAGGGTAAATTCTACGCAAAAGCCTGCAAAGATCGTTAGTGGATTTCCTTGATGAAATATGAATTACGCGTATGTAGGTCAGCTGATCTTTTTGAAACATTATAATGAGTAGAAAACAACCTTTGGTTGGTGGTATCAAAATAATATCGCGTCTAATATACCCAGAAAAGGTAGGCCTGGTGGAGGTGTTAGTAATGATACAACACCTACATTTAGCGAATTACATTTTTACTCTTTAAACTGTCAAACACCAAGCGGTCACCGGTGACCGCGACCTATTGTTCTTTAATTGTGTCTATAAAACCAGTACTCGACGAGTTAAAAGTCATTGTTACAGGGATTGCCGTATGTGGTGTTTTGTAACGAGATTTCTTTCTTTGCTGTCATACTTGCTACCACTTGACAGACAAAACAATCAGTATACGTTACCTTCGTACAGTAACGTGCAAGATCGATACGATCACGGTTTCCTTGAACATCATTATTATCGTTTTCTAATGAAATACGAATGTATGAAGTACTAGCTTCGCCCGCGACTTCATACGCGCAAACCCGTTTTCTCCCGTTCCCATAACATTTTCAGGATATTTTTCTATCATAAGAACCTTCTCCTGACAATAACAAACACAACAAAAAAAATCTGCCAAATCGGTCCAGCCATTCAGTTATGGCGTGACAACGGGAAACGGGTTTCATTTTATATATGATGAAATATTATTCGCTGCAAAATAACTAGGAAAAGTCCGGATTATATGCAGTAGCAAAGAGGTAAAGTAGGTATGCATCAAAAAGTCTGAAATAACAAATGTTTGATGCGCTAAAAATATTTATTATAGAGATTTCGTAAGCAAAACTAAAGTCTCTAGTACCAATGACCTGTACTTTTGGAACCTTCAAAATTGGTTTCTTGGCTAAATATTGATACAACTTTTTAGACAAAAGTGAGCTTCTAGTTTCCTGCGCCGAAACATACATGACCAAGATAAATATGCACTAACACAATAATTTCAGAGAGAATTGTATGCAATTGCATATAATTCAATCTCTACTTATAACTATTGCATCTACAGCGATATTGCATCACCTTTCAGACTACAGTTGCAATAATCTGCCCTACTTGCCTGTGAGCAATAAAATTCCGATCTCGATACGAATCCTTTCGCAAATGGCGTAATATTACGCTTTATTTTCAAAAGGGTTAAAGCAGAATTGTGTAACATCTTGACATAGCTGTTATTCCCTGGAAAGATTGGCAGTAGTGTACTTATGCCTGCGCTAATAATGTTATGAGTCCTGTAGCCGAGAATTTGACGAATCATTGTGAATTTACAGAACAATGAGACTGCCAATCATATTTATTATAAAACTTATTGTATGTACTGAAACTGGAGAAATGCAACAAAAGATACGCATGATGAGAAGGGTTCTCCTTTATCATGAGCCCTATTATTTCACCTTCCGTATAACACACAAACTACCCACATCAACCCTACAATTCCGGTAACACTATTATACCTAAGTACACGAATTATAGTTTTCAAAGAAATACCCTCGGCCTTGCAATCAGCGTCCACTTTACGCGGTTCTAAAAAAACTAATAATTTCATAAAAATAAATTCGACAAAGCGCCCGTGTACACAAATCTTATATACTTAAAATTATGCAATTTCTATCTTGTCGATATAGATATAAGAGCTACATTTGTACACCATACCATCCCTATAAGGTGGGGCTACGTTACTCAGTGCTTAGTAATACTATTTACCTGATTGAGATTACTTTAGCTTTGGGCAAGTCCTGTGTAGTCCTAGGGGACTGAGAGTATGGTAAGCAGTTCAACTGGGCGTGTCGTCCTTTTTAGTGGGTGTTTTTGGATCCGCAGACGGCGCAGCTGATGAACTTGATTGGGTATCTGCGTCTGAAATAAATAAGATAAACATAAGAAAGTTGCTTTGAATTCATACTATTCACAGCGTACCAGTGTTATTTAACAAACTATGTTCATAATATATGGAACGAAACACTTGACACGTTATGTAACGGTCGGAACTATGGAGCTGGCAGAATAATTTAGCAACAAACGTGCTAGTGACGTAAGATCGGTTACGAAACACTGGTTTGCAAGGACTAAGTACCCTTGAAATAAGCACTGGCCTTTGACTGAATGACTTCTATCGACTAGATTACATAATACACAACTGCATTGGGTTCGTGACATCGTGCCCTGCTTGTAACTATCAATTAACGTGGAATATTTTGTAGATACGACAGTGCTAAAGACCTTGAAATACTATTATATTGAATACTAGCGACCCGCCCCGGCTTCGCACGGGTGCAATATGCATGTATTATACATATAAACCTTCCTTAAGAATCACTCTATTTATTAAAAAAACCGCATCAAAATCCGTTGCGTAGTTTTAAAGATCTAAGCATGCATAGGGACAGACAGACTGCGGATAGCGAATTTGTTTTATACCTCTACTATGTAGTGAAGTGACTAATTTATCGTCCCAAAATAAAAGAAAAAAACTACGATAACATTTCAAAAGCAAACTTTTCGATTTTACATAATAATAATTATGAAGAGATAGACTTCATCTAAATATAGGATTTTTTTTTAAAGGGGGAAAATCATCGAATGACTGCTCCCGCCTGGGTGAGGCGGAAGGGAGTGTCAGACTCTTACTGACTAAAAACCACCCCGTTCCTTCTCCTGCACGTCGAGCCGGAGCCCCGGTTACCCGTTAGGTTCTCCGCGACATCTAAATATAGGATTAGAGTAACATTTTCTTTAAGCCTAACACAAGTATTGTATAATAACTTACTGGGGAGCCTCACATTATCTCAAACAGATATCGTAATTCTTAAATTAATAAACGATTTTAATTTTCTGTATCGCAACGAGGCAACGAGCTTTACACAACCAGTATAAACTGAACGTTAAATGTGCGGAAAGATGATGCGACGCGACACCAGAGTAAACTGGTTTTGTATAGATTGATGTGTGGCCGTGTGTACGAGTTCTTCTTGACTTCCATTGCTGTGTTAAGAGTAGTCGAGACTCCTTAAAGATATTTGCTAAGGTGATATCGAGATTAAAATATTAGCTCACTACAAGTCGACTTCAAGGAGCAAAGATTCGTCATAAAATAGTGTTACATTTTGTTAACCGCCCAATTTTATATGAGCTTTGCATGTTTCACAGTAGTTCCTACTAAAATAACTACAATATTAATAGGGCAAATTACAGAATATTTACGAAGCGTGAACTATGCTGTTCTGAATGCGGTCTAGAGTAGACTCTAACATTTGGGTAATAACGTTTCGTTTACGAAAGTAAAAACAAATTGTTTAAGTTTGTGGACTGGATCAGCAACTGCAAGGTCTTACGTCCTTCTTACAGTTACGACACTGAAAGTGATAGTGATATCGATCCCATATTACGTAACGTATAGGGTTACGACCTTTCATATAACAAAAGTCAAATAAAAATCCAATTTAATATTGGCATTGTAATAATGCAATATTGAAACTTAAGAACTATAAACTTGATCGCAATGAACCACAACGAAGGTAAAAGAAATGTATACCTATGTGAATATTAAAATATTATTTTACCAAGCCACTTTTTAACGGAAACGACTTAGAATAAGTATATCCTAATGTATGTCAGGATAATATCTTGATACCCACCCCGGAATCGAATTCGAGACCTCTAGTGCAGACGACCTTACTTTCACTCCACCAAGGAGGTGATCAATATTAAATCAACCATGAAAATATTTAATTTTGTCTCGGCTAGGGAAGGGACTATTGTCAAATATTTCTATGATAACGATCTAATCATATTTTGTAATTTGTATGTTCCGGAAAATTGCGACTACATCTTAAGACATTCCAGCCGCGGTAGGTACTGTATATTTAAAAGAGGGGCAGCAAATTAGATTGTGAGGGGGCGGCAAATTCCCTTATTGAATCATCAGGGTAAATTCTACGCAAAAGCCTGCAAAGATCGTTAGTGAATTTCCTTGATGAAATATGAATTACGCGAATGTAGGTCAGCTGATCTTTTTGAAACATTATAATGAGTCGAAAACAACCTTTGGTTGGTGGTATCAAAATAATATCGCGTCTCATATGCCCAGAAAAGGTAGGCCTGGTGGAGGTGTTAGTAATGATACAACACCTACATTTAGCGAATTACATTTTTACTCTTTAAACTGTCAAACACCAAGCGGTCACCGGTGACCGCGACCTATTGTTCTTTAATTGTGTCTATAAAACCAGTACTCGACGAGTTAAAAGTCATTGTTACAGGGATTGCCGTATGTGGTGTTTTGTAACGAGATTTCTTTCTTTGCTGTCATACTTGCTACCACTTGACAGACAAAACAATCAGTATACGTTACCTTCGTACAGTAACGTGCAAGATCGATACGATCACGGTTTCCTTGAACATCATTATTATCGTTTTCTAATGAAATACGAATGTATGAAGTACTAGCTTCGCCCGCGACTTCATACGCGCAAACCCGTTTTCTCCCGTTCCCATAACATTTTCAGGATATTTTTCTATCATAAGAACCTTCTCCTGACAATAACAAACACAACAAAAAAAAATCAGCCAAATCGGTCCAGCCATTCAGTTATGGCGTGACAACGGGAAACGGGTTTCATTTTATATATGATGAAATATTATTGGCTGCAAATTAACTACGTAAGCTATATGCAGTAGCAAAGAGCTAAAGTATGCATCAAAAAGTCTGAAATAACAAATGTTTGATGCGCTAAAAATATTCATTATAGAGATTTCGTAAGCAAAACTAAAGTCTCTGGTACCAATGACCTGCACTTTTGGAACCTTTAAAATTGGATTCTTGGCTAAATATTGATACAACTTTAGACAAAAGTGAGCTTCTAGTTTCCTGGGCCGAAACATACATGACCAAGATAAATATGCACTAACACAATAATTTCAGAGAGAATTGTATGCAATTGCATATAATTCAATCTCTACTTATAACTATTGCATTACAGCGATATTGCATCACCTTTCAGACTACAGTTGCATAATCTGCCTACTTGCCTGTGAGCAATAAAATTCCGATCTCGATACGAATCCTTTCGCAAATGGCGTAATATTACGCTTTATATTTTCAAAAGGGTTAAAGCAGAATTGTGTAACATCTTGACATAGCTGTTATTCCCTGGAAAGATTGGCAGTAGTGTACTTATGCCTGCGCTAATAATGTTATGAGTCCTGTAGGGATTTGACGAATCATTGTGAATTTACGCAATGAGACTGAATCATATTTATTATAAAACTTATTGTATGTACTGAAACTGGAGAAATGCAACAAAAGATACGCATGATGAGAAGGGTTCTCCTTTATCATGAGCCCTATTATTTCACCTTCCGTATAACACACAAACTACCCACATCAACCCTACAATTCCGGTAACACTATTATACCTAAGTACACGAATTATAGTTTTCAAAGAAATACCCTCGGCCTTGCAATCAGCGTCCACTTTACGCGGTTCGAGTACAATAGAACGCGAATAGAATGGCCAGTTATTGAAAGGGATTTTATCGTCCTTTTACGGTATTACAATATTACAGTACTAAGCTTGTTGTAAGCCTAGAGGGTAAACAGAAGTACTCATTATTATTTTAAATTGTGATATCTACTTTTGGTCAGTAAAATCTCTTGTAATTGTAATATAAGGGGGGCCCCGTTGCTGATCCTGTTCAAGACGTAATTTATATCATTGTGCCTCGTTCAAAACCGTACATGATTTCATATTAAATCGAATAGGTACATAGTCCGCAGTCCGAACCAAAGAACGGCCACATCACAGTGGTTTCACATCGCCGCCACATTCAATATTGTGAGAAGGTCGAGCCTTCCCACAACAATCAGTCGTCTGTCTACATAAACATTGAATTGCGATCATTTAATTATTCAGTGAATATCCACAGACTTTCCATCACAGTATTGGATGTTGAAGCTCTGATTGGCTGATTGCTATCATACAATCCCGCAGTGATAATTGTAATCATCTAGGTCAGTAGACTGTTAGGTTATCGTCACATGTGTGAATCCACGTGAATTTTACACGTGGATCATCTCCACGGATGCTATAAAGTCTCTTAGACTCGAAGGGATTTAGATCAAATAAATGCAAATTTCCGAAACAAATTCGGAACTTAAATGATTACATTCTGATAAAACTATTGACTATTTCCGACAAACTATAATGCAGTTATTTATTTCACTTATCGAACAAATTCCCATGGAAACAATGATTGATTATATTATAATTATAGTGGCGATAATTTTATATTTTGTGTCATCAATTCATCATATTTCAAGATATAATATTAGTTCCAACGTCATAGTGCGATAACCTGTGCTTATCGGCGCATTACGAGCCGATCTACGTCACTCCTAGCCCTCAATTACTGTAGTGACAGGAGGATTGCGATAAGCGAATATATCGTAAACAATATCTAAAACTATCGCATAATATATCGCGCTGCAGTCACGTTGAAAATAAATGTTTACAACAAAGTCTCACTGAAAACTGAGAACGGCTAGATTGATTTTCATAACGTTTTCTGATTCAATGGATCAGCTTTCGTCTTGTCCTGAATAGGAGCAAACTTATCGATGAAAACTTATTTAGTACTAGTTTAGTAACTACAGGAAAGCTAGTACAGAATAATCAATATTTATTATAACTGCAACATTTTATCCAGTTATGTTTGTTAGTGTTTCCAACCAGACCTAAATTAACATTGGTAAACAATTTCGAACTCGTATTTCAAACTAAACTAAAAACTGCTACATCCGCGCGGTTTCACTCGCTCTGCTCGACGCCTATTAATCGTAGCGTGATATTTTATAGCCTTCCTCGATAAATGGGCTATCCAAAACAGAAATAATTTTTCAAATCGGACCAGGAGTTTCGGAGATTAGCGCGTTCAAACAAACAAACAAAAAAACAAACTCTTCAGCTTTATAATATTAGTATAGATTGTTTTGACAGCATTTCACAACTAATTTCGGAACTATCGAAACGATCTACTAATTGATGAAGCAAGGCATTTTTTTTTAATTAGTATTATCGACCACACCAAAGAGCACAACATTATTAATATTGGATAGAATTGAGGTTACTCCGTAGAAAACACATAAGTACCTAGCTACCTAGCTATCCTACTTTTACCAAGAACCACAATCGATTTTACTCGTTATCGAGAGGTTTAGAAGCAAAGGGACATAAGTCAGAAACGGTTGATTTTGTTCACCATCCAACGCTTGAAAGAACTTGAACAAACTCCATTTATAAGCTGACAAAGGCGTAACCTAATGATATTGTTTTATCAATGTTGAATTTAAATCATAGACTAAACCCTTGTCGCGGAGAATCTAACGGGTTACCGCGGCTCCGGTTCGACGTGCAGGAGAAGGAACGGGGTGGTTTTTAGTCAGTAAAAGTCTGACACTCACTCCCGTCTCACTCAGGCGGGAGCAGTCATTCGATGATTTTCCCCCCTTAAAAAAAAAGACTAAACCCTTGGTTCTGGAACTTTAAACGTACGAGTAGATAGAAGAGACCATTTCAAAATAAACATCGGTAAAAGTACGTACGGATTTGGTACACGGCTTTTAATTACGAGTTAATGACGCAGGGAAACAAAATACGTCAATCTCAGGACCAATGTGCTACCGGCAGTTACCAAGAATGTAGGTACGGTTACCACAAATTACATGAGAATTTCTGCAAAAGATCTAAAGCAGATTTTAGATTACAAATGTGTGTAAGCAATTACATTACGTGGTTTGCGATTCCTGGCTCGTTGCCCAAAATTGTATTAGTTTACCGCGGTTATTCCGGAGTCATGTGGACGCTGACGCTTTTCCTACGTAGCTCAACTATTTATTTGTGTATTTTAACACCTAAATTTAAAAAAAAACGTTTGACGTCGACAACACGTCACGAAAATGAAAGCTACAGAACGGATGTTATGCAAAAACAATGCTTCAACACATTTCCGTTCGCCTCAATCAACACAACAGATAAAGACCGGTCGATTTACAATCTTATAGAATCTGGAAATTTTATTTAAAGTTCAATTTATATTGTATACAACCACATTTAAACATACAGTTACAATCCAATTATGTTGGCGCAGCAGTAATAAATATTATCGTAAGATAAATAGGTACGAGTATATACTGATAATTATTTTAGGCTTAGAGGGTAATAAACGGTGATAGTGGCCGTTATAATCTTAGGGCAAACGTAAATACATTGCGAATAGAACTAATACGACTAATAGCCGCACCTTGAATAAGAATTTAACGGTTACTATGGTCTATGGGTATTGACAGATCGTAATCTCCATAATTGGAGTTGGATTATGGAGTAGTAAGGTACAATATATTCGAACTTGGTCCAATATAAATCAGATTTATATGACCACTAGCTTTTACCCGCGGCTTCGCTCGCATCACAAAAGTATAAAATGTAGCCAATGTGACATATATCAATACACACAGCGCCATCTATACCAATATTTTTGTTTTTCCTAGGAAATATCAATTTTCCGGGATAAAAAGTACCTTATTATTTAATCCAGACTTCTAACTTTACGTCTGCAAAAGTTCAACGCAATCGGTCTAGTAGTTACGGCGTGAAGGCGGAACAAACATACAAACTCACTTTCCGATTTATAAAATTAGTAAGGATGCTACACTTATTTAAAAAAATCTATTAGAAATACGATACCTTTCGCAGATGTTCCTCATAACTGATATAAAGAACTTGTGTATTTATTTAAACACTAATACCTGAACCTCAAACATTTTTTAAGATTTCGTGTTCAACCAATGACCTTTAGCTTTCATATTTAGGTATTAACCCTCGTAGATGAAAAGGAACGATATCTACCTAGGTAACTGAAAATGGATTACTAACAATAGCGTAAAGTAATCGTTGGTAATTGTTATGGGTACGCAAGCTAAATAAAAAAGGGTCGATGTTGATGTGGTACTTTTTTGGAACCCTAATGGAGAGAAAAAAGGGTTAATAGGATTTACAGGTACTATATACTAAACTTACCGGCGGCAGTAAGCTGCTGCAGTCTGGAGGGCAAGTCTGCAGTTGTAGCTTCAGCGTTCTGTGGGTGAAGTATATCCGGCATCGCGTTCCTTCGCCCCGTCCGTCCCGTCTCCAGAAATTCCTTCGGTACCTCACTATTCCCTTCCTGCATGATTGCCATCATTCTCAGTACTGAAAACATTTAAATTACAACATTTTATCGCTGGTAACTTCATTAAAAGTTTAAGGGTTGTTTAGCATTTAAATAGACCCTGAAATGTTAAGACATTCTTGACGTTCTATGATGTCAAAGACTTAACAAAGTCACGCCACGCATGACTGATAAGAAAGGTATCACACGACGTGCGGCGTATCTTCAATTCAACACGAAATTGTACGATCACATTGTGTTTACACACATGAATAGCAACAATAATACAGTCCCGTTTAACCGCCAGTCGGTTTGTGTGACATGTCAATTAAATTTTTCTTTTTGCGACTGGACATTCCCACTTACTATCATTATCGTTGAATAAACAAGTAGCTTTGTTGCTATTTCCATAGAGTTGCTTTTTACGGGGCCTTTGAACAGCTGGGCTCGTTCGTGTCCGATCGATTTTTAATACCGCTGAACGTAATTAAATATTATCGTCGGTGTCAGGGTCGATTACGGCGACCATAAATGTATTGGCGCTAATAAAGGGATAAAACGCGTAACAGAAAGTTGGCAACTGTTTAGCCAACGAAAGATTATAAAGGTTATCAATATGTGGAGCAATACTATTCCTACTATCTAATTAGATAAGATAAGGCACGAGGAAAATACTTTAGGACTACCGACTAATGACGTAAATAGGTTGTTAATCTCAATTACGGAGACATACGAATGCTCTTTCCATATCAAGGCATCTGTTGCGTTATTTGGCGGTTGAAAATGCCTTCTAGAATGACGACATTCAAAATTTTAATGTATTGCGCGCCGACGCAGACTAACGCTAATTACCATAACAGTTTTAATGCCAAATTCTTAAATATACTTTTGTCTGATTTTTAAATACTGAGATACTTAAAGCGTGGATTTCGACAACCGCGACGATCCATCTTTGTAAAGTTTGGGAATTTTGGTGGGAAATTCCCTAATGATAAACAAATAACAGTGGCTATGTATTTGTGTATTATTCGTGTTACACTTCAAGTGTTAAAAGTTATTTTTAACAACTTGTTAACAGGGGGAAACTTGAACATAGATTGAAGTGGTCAGCTGCACATTAAACCCGTGATAAAGATTTCCGAATGTTTAAGTCTCCAAAATGCAACACTAAAAAATAATATTGTGGTAATAATAAACCAGGCTGTTGTCTAAGTTTTAATGCTTATTTACTAAGGTTCTGTGAGATGGCCATGCAAAACAAGGCCAACTTGTTAATAACAAATTTTTACACTATGTTTCTGTTACAAAACTACTTCTTTCATCTCAACTTAGTAGAACATAGTTTTTAAGATATATAGACTCATGCTTATGCATTGTGTATTAACATTAAGTAAAAGCAGCTCAGTTACTTGTTTAAAATGTAGTTTTATCTACAACTATCTATACTTAGTTATATCTTCAATAATTGTTCAAAGAAGTTCCATTGTTATGCTAATCATGAGACCTGATTTCAAAGCAGTATTCATGTCCTTTCAACAGTCAATGGTGTAGTGACGCAACCATCTACCTACTTACAATATTTATATTTAGACTACATCACACAATAAAAACTCTTTATAGACAAGATTCTAAAACAAACTGGTTGTTTTTATAGCAGAAGTTAATCTTTAATAGCTTTAAGTGAGATGACTCAGGGCTATTATAAAGCAACTGTGGAAAAAACTAGTTAGTTTTGACAAACAGTTTGATGTCAATAGATAATTATATGTGTAGGTGTATAACTACCTTCCAAGTTATATAAATGCGAAAATTCTATGGCTAAAGAATATAAGATAAAAGCTATATTTATGTAGATAGATGCAGCACAGTCTGATTAGATCTTTATTTTAATTAATTATGTAGATACATACTCACTTTAATGACCAGACTTCACCAGACAATGCTGTCTACTCTTAAAAATAATTAAAAACTACCAAACATGCAACCAAACTGTTCAAATGGAAGAATTTTAAAAACATGCATTAACCATAAACTGTTTAAAAATATGTAAATGAAAATAAAAGACCCAAAATGTCCATTGTTTTTGGAAAAAAGGAAACATAGATAATTAAAATGCAACAGTTATGTACCATTTCATCCCAATAATCTTCGGTGGCTGCTTAGAAGTTGCTTCCCAAGTTGATCTAAGAGATTGTCACTCTACACACATCATGCACCTCACAGTCCTGGATTGATACAAGTTGTTTGTTAGTATGCATATTCAGGTAACTACTGTTAAGGCAAACCAATTTTCTATTTGATAGCAAATGTTAGTCTCCTGTTACATAAAGTCCAATTTGTTTAGGCTGTATGCTAAGTGGCCTTTGTCATTTTAAAGCAGCATTGTTCACAATTGTCAATGGGTGGTTTAGAACTACTCTAGTCTCTGACCTACATCTGACTATAATTTATATTCTTTATTGCTCTTTTTATATGTTGGCAAAAAATAAATGGTCATGTCTATGCTATGTTTATTATGGACTTGTATTATAAAGATCCGGAGTCAACAAATTATTTATTTTTACTATACATAATGTTGGTACATTTAAATTCTTATTGGAATATTTTTTTTTGTTACTTGTAGGTAGATAGTGAATTGAAAATATTCCCATCAAAAAACTCCCACATGGGTCTAATCAACAGTCAATTATGATGAGAATACCATGAAAACAATTTATCTGCTTAAAATTGATTTAAACAAAAGTTAACAACTTCTATAATTAATAACTGGAGCTAAGAGATACTATGAAGTGGACCCGAATAGTGATAGCATGAATAGGCGTATGAAGGTCTAGCCAGTCGTAATGTCTCAAACAAGCAGAACACTACTCAAAATGAAAATCTCCAAGCGGTAATCAAAGTGGTCGTTCAAGCGCGGCCCCAGCATGCGGCCCTCTCGTACCTGTACTATTCTTAACGCGACGGTCCCTCCTATGTTTAGACACACGACCTGATAGGACCTCCGACATTTTTTACTCAACAACAATAACCACAAAACGTATTAACTTCACACAAAAATTATTGATTCAGATACTCGAAAACGGTACTCATAATCACCTCAATTTATATTTTCGAACTACACTGAACTGTAGTAACACGCCTATTCAAACACACAATTTTAACATGTAGTTCTTATAAAAAATCTAATTTATCCAATTTTCATATAGCTTCTAATTTACTTTACAATAAAAGAGCGTGCACTAAAATCACAGTTAATCACAAAAGAAAGACGAAAGGAAATTGTGACATGTCGAGGCCATGACAACTTTGACGTGACAATGACAACTGTCAACTGATAAAAATTTACAAAACAGTAGAAATAGGCCGATGCTGCCAACGGAAATAAAAAGATATTTTACTTGGTTGTTTGATTAAATATAGGTATCACAATTTTAATACGTTACTATAACTGTTCATCTATTCATTATCCATTCCTCTAGAAGGATGAACGATTTTCTCCATTAGGTGGCGTGCCATTTGAGAGGCCTATGTCCAGCGGTGGACGAATACGGGCTGATGATTATGATGATGAAGTAATACAAGTGCCTAAGTAAATATTAATAGTTTAGGAACTCCAAATAACGGTGAAGACAGGAGCAATCAGACAGACAAGTAAAAGTTTTACTGTTTATGGTTTGAAGAAATCAGGCGCTATCATAAGTATGTTACACCTATGAATAAATTTTTTTTAGTGTTGATATAAAAAAAAATTGAGGTCTTTTAAGTATTTTCATATTTTTTATTTGTTTTTGTTTCGGCGCTATGCAAATACATTGGCAATCTACATTGTCGAAAACCAAAAGTAGCAACACTATTTTCAGCTGTCATCTACCAGCTGATAAATCGAGATTTTGTTACATACAACATTTATGTAATTTTTGCTGTGAAACATCTCTTTAGAGGTAAATTTCTCATAATATCATGTTTTCATTACATTTCACATCGTTTGATGAGAATATTTGAACTAATATGTTAATTAATAATGTTTAATTAGATGCTACGAAAAGTAGTGTTAGGTTCTGTTGGAGTGGCTACACTCATACCGGCGGTTGGTGCTGCTACTCCCATCAAGGATGACCCACCAAGTCTTCAAAAGCCCCCTCTAATGAAGCCCTCTGACCTGCCGGTTTACGAAACTCCACATGCCGATTATGTTGAGTATGTTTTTATTCATTTTACTGATCAAAATTGCAATTTCTCTTGGTTTTTTTGAGTAAAAATTCTAATTAGTATAAAGTAAAAGACTAATAAAACCACCTAAAGTATACCTACAATCATAATAAACTATTTTCATTGACATTCCTTTAAAAATAAAAAAAATATATGAAAATGAATGCAAAAAGTAAGCTTTAATGAATGCTCTTTCATCATTAAAACCTAAAATACTTTGCCAAAATAGGTATGTAACATAGAAAACCCAGACTCATTCATATCTTTAGTAAATTATCTACTTGTCAACAAAATACTGATAATTTAAGATAAAACAATTCCAAGTGCATAGGTAACATAAATAAATAATTATTGTAAACTTTTTAAATTCTAGAAAGGTCAAGTCAAAGGGTGGTAAAGATGAGGTTGGTTATGTGAGGTCTGTGCTCTTGGCCCCTGTCCGTGCAGTACGTGAGCAGGTGCAGATTGTTGTGGACCACACAGACCGTGCCAAACATGCAATACAAGATCAATACACTGAGCTGCAAGATAAAACTGGTTGTAAGTTGATTTTTTTACTTTTGCTAATGATTATTTTTATTTATTTAATTATTTTATATGACTCTAGTTCAAGTCATATAATTTTTATATTAACTAAAACAAGATTCCGTACTTCACATAATTATTTTATGAAAAGTAACAACTGCTTGAAACCGTAAGATACAATAGAAAATACATAGTATCTCGGTGGATCCGCATTTAGACACATGATGGGTTAAAAGCCTCCAATTTTATTTTCAGCGTTGACAGAGAGCTCTAATTTATTACAACAAATATTTCAGGGATCTTCAAATATCTTCGAGAAGAAGAGAACAAGCAGGTCCGATATGGTGCTGTGGCAATGGGAGGTCTGACTGGTTTCATATTTGGTCTTAGAGGCGGGATTATCAGGGTATGTTGGATATTTCTTGGCTTATTTATTAATGTCATCTCTTGCTATTGCATTTGAAGCAACTATTTAATAGTAGCATAACACAAAAGTAATTTCATACAAGGGGGAAAAGAAAGAGAAAGTCCCCCCTCCCCTCCCCTTTCCTGTGTTCAGTGTGGAGTTCAGGTGGCACTTTTTCCATGTGTCCACATATAAAAAGTACCACCCACTTTTCACAAATTGTGTTATGTGAATCACGGTCCAGCTTATTGCCATATTGACCCTAATATTTCCAGATTTCACTTGTTTTCCAAAAAAAATTGTCATTCAACGATTGCCTACCAATGCCTATTGTTTTCATCAGCTATTTATTTATTATCACTTTATTATTCCAGCGGGTATTTTACGCCAGTGCTACCACCACAGCTATGGGGTATGTGTGTTTCCCTGAAGAAACAAAAGACATTATGAAGAACAATTCGGCCCTAGCTAAACAATATGTCAACATTGCTTACAACTTCTTGTATGGAGGTAAAGTATTAACTTAATTCATATTTATGTATACTCAATGTATCATGCAAGATATCCATCAAATCTTGACAATCTAAATGAATACTTTTTGGAATAACTTTTCAACAATGTGAAATTAAATAATCAAAATTCTAAAACAATTTATCAGTGAAACCCGGTGATCCTCAACTGGAGGTGAATTTCCCTGAGCTGTCTTTCCCCAAAGACTTTTCCGAGTTCATGGATATGACAGTATCTTTGGCATCATCAGTGAAGCAGGCGGTAATGCCTCCGCCTGCTAAAGAGGAAGCAAAACCTGACGAAAAAAAAGAATAGGTATTCATGGGAATGGTTTCGGAATGGTGCAAATGCTTATGTTTATGAGTTTGACTAGTGTTGCCAAAAAGCTTTTTTTTTCTTTAAAAACAACGACGCCACAACGCTTTTCTGTGTTGTGACATGGATCTGTGTACAAATATTTACATATACATAAACATATTGTTTTTAATTAACTCAAGTCTACCATATTTTTTTTACATTACTCCATACTAGTATTTTCTCCTGTATCGTGGGTGCGTTTATTGTTATTGTAATTTGTAGATCACACGAAGAGTTAGTCCGATTTTTAGGGCATTCATGAAAATAATTATTTGTTAATGTTAAGCCACGCAATAAGCTCATATTCGTCACACGACGAGACGGGCTTTTATAATTTGTTTGTATGCAGTTACAACATTTCATTATTATAATTTCTAAGAGTTCTAGGGATACAAGGCAACACTAGGTCTAATTCTAATGCTTGCTTCTATTAATTGCATCGTGTTTCTGCTTTGGTTGACAGTATTATTTATACATATTGTGTTTAATCTCATAATCTCACTTTGATTCAATTTACTTTAATCTAGTATTTTGGACTATGCAGTGTGCATCCTGAAATTTGAGCTTTCATTGCTTTTATTCGTGAAGCAAAATATTTCACATTTTGGTTGTAATGAACTACATTAGCTACGTACCTATTAACAGTGGCGTAACTACAGGGTGACAAGTCGGCAAAACGTCTAAGGCCCCCCGTTGCAAGGGGCTTAGGGGTTCAGGTTTTCATTTAAACTTCTCTCTTTTTAATGAGAAAGGTGGCCCATCCGATGGATTTACCACAGACCTTAAACGATATACATACATAGTTATGCCACTGCCCATTGATCTCTTTTTTTTATAAATAAATTAATGCTTGACATCATTTCTATATTATAATTTTTGTTTTTTCTTTTGCATTCAAGGCATGTGGGATTCTGTTTGTTTCTTTCGACAGTGTTGTTTTTATAATTATTATAATACCTATTTGTTATTCGTTTTCAGATTATTTTACAAAAGATGAAGTAGATGAACAAGCAGTTCCAGGTTGGTAACACAAAAAACCGGACTATTTAATTTATTCAGTCTTGAAATGAAGTATTTCACAACAACGATGAGTCAGTCGGAACGGAAAGTCAAAGATAATAGGGTTTTTTAATATCCAAGTTCTTTTTATTTGATATACCAGACAATTTTACACATCATCCTTTTCTGGCTACAATCATCATGCAAGGTTTATTAGACAATTTACGCTATTACGTAATCACAACACAGATTCCCGCCTCGCTACCTATAATGTCAATTATGATGTAGTAGTTGATGCTATTTACTCTATTTTTTAATCTACTAAATACTACTTGACTCGTCGATTGAGATGTTTTGAGTTTGTCGAGTCAAATAGAAAACTTGCTATTAAAGTTTTAGATTCTCGCGTACTTGTAGCTCTGCTAGTTATGGGTTATCTGTACGCAGCGTTGGGTTGACTGGATATGTTATCACTTACCCACTTTAGAAAAAATAATAATTTACTATCTTCTATTTCAGCACCATGAAGACGAAATGTCGACTACAGAAACCGTTATAGTGAAATAAAATTTATTTATTGTTTGCTAGTTAAAGTGTAATACAATCAACATGAATGTAATTATTAAAACAAATTATATTTTTCATTACATTTTATTTTATGATAACACAATACACAAATGTTGAATTACGTTAGAATTACTCTTATGCAAATATCATTTCCTCTCGCCTCTTCTTCGTGACTACCGTACCAGGCTTATGTTGAGCCTCGGGATGGTTCATCAGCTCAGGCGGACACGTAGACACAGAACTCGCAAGCAACACTTGCTTAAGGTCGTAGAACAACGCCGAATCTTCTTTCGTGACGAATGACATAGCTTTACCAGTTTTGCCCGCACGACCAGTACGACCGATACGATGCGTATAGTCTTCTATAGTCTTCGCCATGTCGTAATTGATAACCATACTGACGTCCTTGATGTCAATACCACGACCAGCGACATCTGTTGCAACCAGAATGTCTTTCGAACCATTCTTAAGACTGGCAAGTGCAAAGTCACGCTGTTCTTGTCCTTTACCACCGTGCAGTGTACACGCATTGAAACCCAACTTTTCCAAACCTTTAGCCAGGACATCTGCTCCTTTCTTCTGGTTGACGAAAATAATAATCGGAGGTTCGACTCCTCTCTGTAATATCTCCGTCAGCTTTCTACGTTTCTCATTCTCACCGATCATGTAAACAACTTGTTCTGTTCGGTCTACAGGTTTGCCAACAGAGCCAATGTATACTATAGCTGGTCTACGCAAATAACTCCTCGCTAAACGCTCCACTGCGGGAGGCATAGTAGCTGTAAACATCACAGTTTGTCTGAATTTCTTTTTAGAATTGTAGTTAGCTAACAAAACTGAGGCGTCTTCAGCAGCATCTGAATCTGGTTTGATGTTAGAAACTGGCATGTATTCCAGAATTTTTTGGACATCAGGTTCGAAACCCATGTCTATCATACGATCAGCTTCGTCGAGGACTACATACGTACAACGGTTTAGGACCAAGTATCTGTTTTCTAAGACATCGATAAGACGACCAGGTGTCGCAATAACTATTTCACATCCTAATCTGAGTTTGAAACCCTGTTCCTCTCTTGACAGACCTCCCACTACAACAACAGATGTAATACCCAAAGGAATTCCAAATTTATTTGTCTCTTCCTCTATCTGTTGCGCCAACTCACGTGTCGGAGCTAAAATAATAGCATATGGCCCTTGATCAGCATCTTCCAAACGCTCGTTTTTCGGGAGAGATTGAATCCAAGTAAGTAGAGGTATAAGGAATGCTAATGTTTTACCCGAACCAGTTTCTGCAACACCAATGATATCTCTGTTTTGTAAACCAATAGGAATAGCCTGTCTTTGAATAGGTGTTGGACTTTTATAGCCAACTTTGCCAATAATTTCCATAATATCAGGATGGAAGCCAGCTTCCTTCCAATTTCTGATAGGATTTGGAATCTTGCCACCTTTAATGGTGATGTTATAATCTTCTCTGAAAATACGCCAATCCCTTTCTGTCATTTCATCTTGATCTTTTTCAGACCAATGACGATCATCCCATTTTTGCTTATCTTCCTTCTTTTTAACTTTCTTAAGACGTAACTTCTCCTGTTCCTTTTCTAGTTCTGTCCTGCGTTTCTCTAATAGGTTACCATAGAACTTGCTGTAGTCTTTCTTCTGTGACTTTATATCAATACCAGCAATGTGACCACGGCCAAAGAACTGCACTTGATGTCTTTCTTTATAAAGTGCATTGTAATCATTTGATGTGTCTTCAGATGCATCCCAATCGAAAACAAATTTACGGTCATTCAATCTTCTTACTCTGCGTTTTTTCTTTACAATGCCTAGGTAACGAGCCTTGATGGCCTCTTCTTCACGTTCCTTATCTTTTGTTTTTGAAACTTCTTCATTTTTTTCTTTCTTATCTTCTCTGCGATCACTCATAGACTTTCTTTCCTCATATTTCCTTTCTCTTTCCCTTTCTCTCTCATCCCGTCTCTCTCTTTCTTTTTCTCTCATAGCTTCTCTTTCATCTCTATATTTCTTCATTTCTTCTTCTCTTTTAGATGGGCCTGTGAGATCTATTGTAGTTATAGAAGGCCTGTCAGTGTTAGCTCTAATAGCGTCCACTTGCTTTTGCCGCCTTTCTAAAGCTAGAGCAGCTCTTTGCTCTTTTGTTAAGAAAACTGGTTTACTGCGAGCTTCTTCTTCTGCTTTCTTTTTGGCAAGCAGTTCCTCTAGAGACAGTGGCTCTTTCTTTACTGGTTTCATTTCCACTTCTTTAGATTCTTGTGCTCTTCCTCCTCTGTTTTAGTGTCTTCATCTTTTTTGCTTTTTGACTTTTCCTTATCATCATGTTTTCTCCTGCTTTCGGATTCTTTTTCTTTGCCATCACGTTTCTTGGGGCTACGTGAGCGACCACGATCACGATCTCGCCGGCTAGGGCTCCGCGATCTATCCTTTTCCTTTCGGGAAGGACTTCGGGAACGATCTTTATCTTTGTCCTTATCTTTTCGTGAAGGGCTTCGAGTACGGTCGCTATCTTTATCTTTCCGAGCAGGGCTTCGAGTTCGATCGTTGTCTTTCTCTTTGCGTGTAGGACTTCGGGATCGGTCTTTATCTTTTCGTCCAGGGCTACGAGATCTATCTCTATCTTTCCTCGACGGGCTCCGTGACCTTTCTCGTTCTTTCCTAGGACTGCGAGATCGTTCGCGACGCTTGGTTTTGTCTCGATGAGACTCTCGATCGCGGTCTTCGTGCCGGTCTTTGTCGCGTCTTTCTCGTGACCGCGAGCGTCTACGTTCAGGGCTCCTATCACGTGCCATCGTTTAATTTTCACAATTTTATAACATATATGACATTATACAAGTTACCACGCTTATTTATTCCACCATAAATCTCAACTTACGACTTATTTTTAAGATGACATGACGTCTTTTTATTTGACACTGACAATTTCAAGTTTTTGACCATAAACCACTACAAAGACGTATTGCCAGATAGCAATATGTTACAGTTCAACTCCGTTTTTATCCTATCAAAGGGTTTAACGTAATTAAGAATCTTATAAACATGTGCGAATTATTTTTTAATTCACTAATTAATTATTCTGTTAAAAAGCATGTAATTTTAACTTTGTAATCTCTTGGCGTTCTACTTCTTATTCTCTTTATTTTGGCAACTTTTATGTCAAATCAAAGAGCAAAACGGGAGTTTGTATATGTCAACGTCACGTTTCAAAAAAATGCTCTCAAACCTGCATTGCTTACGACATGTCATTGTCATAATGATTACATTACGTAGGAACTGAGGCAATATTATACAAATCGAGTGTAATAGGAAAACTTTAGGTATTATTAGGAAGAAGATATAAAACGCTTTAGTGTCAGTGCAACACGTCAGTCTTAAGATAAATATTCATAATAAATAATCTCGTTCACAACTATTGTTATCAAATAAACATTGTTCGTTGAGGTTATTATTGTACTTACGTTGTGTGATAAAAGTGTTTATTTTTGTTTGCGGTTATAAAGTAAAATATAAATAAAATAAAATATTATGGAATTTCCTTCGAGTTATAAGTTGTGTGCTGCGACCGCGGCACTGGCTGTGGGATGTACTTTTTCCTACATTGCTTATAAACGCAGAGGAAGAGTACGCAATGCAAACGATGTATTTAATTATTTGACTGTCGAAATTGTGACTACTGAAGAATCTTGCGACTCTGTCGTTGCTGAGTTGAAAAGGTGAGAACGTTTTTTTATTTACTTCAATTGCTTGCTCAACTATCTAAAACAAGTTTAGTTTGTAATTAGTATGTTTACTATATTGCTTCTAAACAAACATACCTGTTACATTATAGTAAATGTTATTCTAATCTTTTCCTTGTTCTTGTTTCCTTCATACAAAAATATTTTTTTGTGTAAATAAAAAAAATAATAACATGCTATAAAGCATGTTATTATTTTTTTTTACAATTTATACTTTTAAAAATAGGTAACAAAGGTAATAGTTTCTAAAGTATTTAAAAAAAACCATTTTGTATAATGTAAATTAATGTTGATGAATGGTCTTTAATTACAAACATTAAAATATAATAATAGGCATTATTTCCCATCCACTTGTTAATTGAAACAGTTGACATTTTTTAATTTTTTTTTTTTTTAGGAGATGTCAGAAACACCATGCCTTAGGATTTGACTGTGAATGGGTCACAAATAATGGAAAGCGTCAACCTGTAGCATTAGTTCAGCTATCTTCCTTCGATGGCTACTGTGGCCTGTTCAGGTTAAATACATTGAAGGCAGTACCTTTATCTTTAAAAGTAAGTTATCTTTTTTTGTTTTATTTTTAATTTGAGCTTGACAAGGGTGCCTGTGTGTGACAAATTTTTATGTAAAATTTGTTCAAAGTTGAACCTCTCAAAACTGAACCACTAGGAACTGTACTGGATATTAAATTCAGCCATAGAAAGGGTGGTTAGACTTTTCATTTGGTTGTTATGGGATCTCATTAGGGAGTCGAGCCTATTGCCATGGAAGGGCACAATTCCAGATGCAACTCTTGTGAAAGAGCTTTAAAAGCTGATAATACTATGTCCAACCCAGGAATTAAATCGAAGACGAGTTTAACTGTCGCGCGGAACATAAAAACAATTTAAAAACAAAAACTTCTTTCTCGTTTCGTAATTTACATTGGTTAGCCACGGCGGCCACAACCACAACTACCATAGTAATAATCATGGAATACAAAAAACTACATAGTAAAATAATAATATTATGCGAAATAACATTTGTTGACTTTGATATAAAAATAGACTTCATAACAAAGTCGCATAAGGTTAAATATATTTGTGGTTTCTATTATTGTGTACCTATGTTACAATGTCTTATCTTTCTGCCATACCCTTTCAATTTTTGCCGCGTAACGGGTGGGAAGTACTGTTATCATAAACATTCTTTAATTATTTTTTTTATCTGTTTACCTACTAACATCTCGTCGCGGCTTCGCCCAGGTGCAATTCTCCGATTGTTCACGTGGTTTTTTATAAAAACCATCATTTACGCGTTACCAAAAACAATAAATAAAAAACCCAAATTGATTTTGCCATTTTGCCATCACATTCGAAATATCATTTTTATTTATTTATAGTTTAGTTCTATTGAAAATTCGTGTGACAATTATCTATATTTAGATATTACTCGAAATATTTACGTTATCATAATGAAATCAATGAACGCGGTAAATAACAGAACTTTGTTGATAATGTTTGTTGACTCAACAGTAATTTTATTACGGCACACGTGTCTTTAAAGTAGTGGCGCCTAACGCGTCCCTTTTGCATCATTGCATCATGTAACGTGACGTCATACCTTATAATTTGGGACATTGAGACATGATTCATCATTTGAAATGTTTACAATCTTTGGAAATAGTTTCTAGAAAGCTTTAAGAAATTTGAAAGCATAAGTCATAGTTATACGACACTGGTATTTCACCTTGCTCACCTATTTACTACACGTTTGTACCTACCTATAGTTTTGTCACCAATACTAGGTATTACAGTTTTTCGTCATAGGAAATTCATTAAAGTGACAAAGTAAAATTAAATTAACATAACATTACGCCTTTTATCCCCAAAGGTGCACATTACAGCACTTAATGCCACTGTACAATGTAACACCCACTTTTCACTATTTATGTTATGAGTCCCATGTAATAGGGGGTGAGCCTATTGCCAGGCACAATTCCAGAATTCCTGCTACTACTGAGAAATAAAAAAAAAATCCTGTTGCCCAGCAGTCGCACTTGCGACCACTTAATTACTTCTAGTACAAATTGATAATAGAGGCTGAGAAATACTGGTCACGATTCTAGACTTCTAGAGTAGACTACCTCCAATTAAACATGGATATACTTAAATACGAAAATGCCAATCCAAGCCCTTCTGCTCAGCAACATCACTATACGATAGAAGGCATTCAACCAACGATGTCGCGGAGAACCTAACGGGTAACCGGGGCTCCGGTTCGACGTGCAGGAGAAGGAGCGGGTGGTTTTTAGTCAGTAAGAGTCTGACACTCCCTCCCTCCTCACCCAGGCGGGAGCAGTCATTCGATGATTTTCCCCCCTTAAAAAAAAAAATCAACCAACAATATCTACCTATATAATTTTTCATACTTCTGTATAATTTTTTGTTACGTTTTGATACAGGAACTACTAGAAGATGAGAGCATTTACAAAGTAGGTGTGGGACCCAAAGATGACAGCAAATACTTGCATAACGATTACTCTGTGGAACTGAGGTCTTCGCTGGATATTAGACATTTAGCCGAGTACTGTGGCTATGAACCTGGAGGCCTGGCCACGTTAAGCTCCGTTCTCCTACGAGCCGCTTTGGACAAGAGTTGGAGGGTGAGTCAAGTTTGAAATATTATATTTTACTTATAGGTAGGAGATATCTTCTGATTCATTTCGTTGCGGGAACCAAGACAGTTACTCTTTCCCTGGGACGCGCCGGACTTCAGTGTTCCGGTGTTTTCATGGTTGTATCTACTGTAGATCCTGGCTTACAGGAGTTGCAGCGGTTTTGGGAGGTTGTGGCGGGCTTGTCCCATTTATTATTATAGGTAGGAGGTAAGGCTATCATTTGTATCGTTGAATTTCGAGGTAGACATTCAAATCGAGACGAAGGGTAGGGTCGATCTCTAGCCACCGTAAGAACGGAACGGGGTGGTTTTTAGTCAGTAAGAGTCTGACACTCCCTCCCGCCTCACCAAGGCGGGCCTTTAAAAAAATAAGGGTAGGGTCGAGATCAGTGGAAATCTTGAGATGGAGATGGCGACAAGGCATTTGTAACTCTCCTGTGGGTGCCACTTGTATGTCACTTACCGATAAATTAAGTGGTCCAACTGCTCATCTGCCCCCCCCCCTCCTTCTAAAAATAACTTAAATAATTTGTCTCTTCTAGGTCCGTTGCAGTGATTGGGAAGCTGAAGAGTTATCAGAAAGACAAAAGAAGTACGCAGCGATCGATGCTCACGTAGCTATCAAACTGTTCGCCCTGTTACTAGAGAAGGTCGAAGAGACCTATTCAAATTACTGGGAGCTTGACTATAATCCCGCAACTGTGTGGACTCGATTATACGACTATTGCTCGAAGTATGCTGATGTCGGATATAAAACTAAACATACTATTAAATTGAAGGACCAGTGAGTATTTTTGAGCTGTTTTGTATTAACACGTATTTTGTTTGTAGTAAGGTTTACTTTTCTACAGTTTTCTTTATGGACCCCATGCTATAAAACATCAGGCACAATTCCAGTCTTTCTGCTATTATTTATCATTTAGAAAATTCTAAATCTAAACATATAATAAGTCGCGGAGAACCTAACGGGTAACCGGGGCTCCGGCTCGACGTGCAGGAGAAGGAACGGGGTGGTTTTTAGTCAGTAAGAGTCTGACACTACCTTCCGCCTCACCCAGGCGGATCATTCGATGATTTTCCCCCCTTAAAAAAACATATAATAAAACAGTCTAAAATCGCGTCTGAACAAACATTTTGTAAAAAAATCAAAAACAGCAATAGAGTTTATTTTTGTTGGAATCATATTTAATAATACTTTACCCGACCGTGGAATTAGATTCACAGTTAGACAGGCATAAACGAGACAGTAAAAGTTATTTACCTACACAAATATTGCGTCAATTGGTGCCTACATTAGAATACTTACATTAGAATTCCAATGTGACTTATTTTCCTGTTTAGTAATAATAAATTGTGCAATAACATAGGAAGTTGTAAAACATCCCTACGAATCATCATGTGTGTATTTATTGTAGGTATTGAGCCACCAACATCAATAGCTTTGGCTATTAGTCATTCATAAGGAGTTAGGAGTTAGGAGTTAGGACTTAGGTACTTCCCTATTACCACCTTAAAATGTATTGTGAAATACCATGAGTACTTACTGATTTATCTCGGTGGATTCCATTCCTGGGTTATCTAAGTGTTTTTAGTTTATCGAATATTTTCAGTAAAAGAACTTGACTGCACTGTTAGTGCGGTGGCTGGGCAACCGGCTGCCGTGCAGCGTGTCACATGTTCGATTCCCACACGGAACAACACTTTGTGTGATACAAATTGTTGTTTCGGGGCTGGGTGTCATGTGTATGTGAACTTGTATGTTTGTAAACGCACCCACGACACAGGTTAAAATCCTAGTGTGGGGCAACGCTTCTATAATAAAAAAAAATTAACTCTAGAATTAAGCCCAGTGTATATAGCGACACGTGACACAGAAGAAAATTTAAAGCAACATTTTCTTTCAAATCTTTGATTATTATATAGAGAAGGCAATTCTTCCGCTAACTATTAACGTATGCCGTGAATAGACGCTTGAAGGGTTAATTATATGTAGACAGCGATCTTACATTTTTTTTTGTAAGAACTTGAATTGAGAACTGTGTTCCTAATTTATTATCTTCTTTTTTTTTGTTTATGTTTTTTTTGGGTTCAATTGTAAAACGTTATCCAATGCGTTTCACTATGTATATCATTTCCACGCTTGAATGGTAAAATATGGCTGAACCTGTATTTTTATGTCACCTGTAATTGTTACCCATATTTGCAAAATAAAAGTATCTTTATCTTAACTTTATCTTTTAACAGCGCAAAAGAAAAAGACCCAAAGATTAAGGAACCCACAAAGAGGTATAAGCTCACAAAACGTACGCGACCTTTGTACAACAATGGCTACCTACAAGCTCCTGACGGTGAACTATTGTGTATCTGTGACAATAGGAAGGGAATGTGGTAAGTTAACTTTTTATTTATAATAATATAATAATAAACATTTATTTCAGAATAAATTCCATATTTGTAAGTAACAGTGCAGAACTTATAAGCTAGTGTTAGTAACTACATTATTGTTAGTAACAGTATGAACTTATTAACTAGTGTTAGTAACTTTATTTATTATACAAGCGTGAGGCTCGCCGACCCTGGAAATGTCTACTTGACTGTGTGCAGTCGTATCCACTGCCCCAAGATCGGAGAGTCCCACCTTTCAGCCAACGCCCCGAGAATGGTGTTGGGTTTGTTTATTACCGAGTTTTTTTTTAATGCCATGGTCGTCCCACTGGTGGGCAAAGGCCTGCCCCACCTTCCACTCGTCTTCACTATGAATACTGCCTATACAATTCTTATTTCGGTTAGCTGCTATGCCAAAGCTTCGATACCTTTTTAGTGACTTTGTAATAAACGCAAGTAACAATAACTTAATAAATAATAAAAAAAATAATTGTGAAGCAAGCAACATTTTTATTAATATGTAGATTCCTATGACGAAGATCGAGTAAACTATCGTTTGTTAAAGTAAATAATTAATAAATTGTGAAGCAAGAAGAATTTATATTAATAGATTCCTATGAATAAGATCGAGTAACTCTATGGTTACACACTCTCTACTTGACCTTAGGCGCCACCAAATCCCTTACCTTAGTTCTATTATAACCTCACAATATCTTTTTCTTTTTTTTTAAATAAATAAACGTTGCCCCACATTAGGATTTTCTCCTGTGTCGTGGGTGCGTTTACAAACATACAAGTTCACATACACAATGACACCCAGACCCGAAACAACAATTTGTGGATCACACAAAGTGTTGTTCCGTGCGGGAATCGAACCCGCGACACGTTGCATGGCAGCCGGTTGCCCAGCCACCGCACCAACCGTGATGTCATTTCTAAATATTGTATATCTTTGACAGGTTCGTGAACAAAGGCCTGGCAGATTTGATCAAGGAGGATCCTCTCACAGTCCGACTGAAGTTCGAGCCCGCCGGCCGAGCGGTCGGTGACGTCGGCCGCTACTACCAACTGGAGAAGGAGAACAAATGCGTCGTTTGCGCCAGCACTAATCACTGCATCCGTAAGAACGTCGTGCCCAGAGAGTATAGAAAACTATTCCCTGGTGAGTTTTATCTATTCACAGTGATATTTAGGTATATTCTAGATTTTTTCTTTAATAAACCACTAAAGGAACAACATATCATCATAACATCACGCTTTTTATCCCTGAAGGGGGAGGGAGAGGTGCACATTACGGAACTTAATGCTACTGTAAATCACTACTATCATAACTACCACACTCCTAAATCTAAATCACAACTACCACAATCCTAGTGTGGGGCAACGTTTTTTTTAAAAAAAAAAAAAAAAAAAAAATACTGTACAATGTAACACCCACTTTTTACTATTTATGTTATGAGTCCCATGTAATAGGGGTGAGCCTATTGCCATATATACTGGGCAGAATTCCAGACTCCGTGCTACTACTGAGAATATTTAAAAACCCAGTAATACTTTGCCGAACCCGACTCTAATCGACGAAATCGAATGACTAATGGAACAATTTACCACAGAATCTTAATCTTACATTTTATTTTGCAGAAATCATGAAGGAGCATTCTTCTCACGACGTGGTACTGTTATGCGCTGAATGCCATCAAATGAGTAATATTCGTGACCAGCATATGCGCGTTAGTCTAGCAGAGAAGTGCAATGCGCCACTACCATCCAGTTCCAAGGACAGATTCATTGAGGATATGGCTGCTAAGTAAGTTTCGATATATTATAGTCCAGGTTGCCCTGAAATGGTTCGATATAAATGAATGGTTAGCCTTATAAGTTGTCGCGGAGAACCTAACGGGTTACCGGGGCTCCGGCTCGACGTCCAGGAGAAGGAACGGGGTGGTTTTTAGTCAGTAAGAGTCTGAAACTCCCTTCCGCATCACCTAGGCAGGAGCAGTCTCGATGATTTTCTCCCATTAAAAAAAAAACTCCTTATAAGTTACAAAATATCCGAATATTACTAGTGAATAATCAGAAAAAAATAAAAAAACATACATAATTATACTTTTATCAAATCATTTCGGTCCAAAACGGGACGTATAAATACTCTTTGATTCGTTAAAAATATTCATTCATGACGATTTGTTATCTGTGACTATCAACAGGAAAGTAAGATCAGCAGCGCGCGCGTTATACCATGCGAACGACAAGCTGCCGGAGGACAGGCGCAAGCAGCTAGAAGACATCCTGCTGCAGCACTATCCTGACCAGGAAGAGGTCACATTGGAACTGTTAAAGGAAGCCTGTAATATAACTGTCGTGTAAGTATTTTCAACATATAAAGTTAGTTATATTTTACGGCAAGTGTGCAAGGAGCACTGAGCAATACTCGCCGTATTGGGTGTCATGCAATGTAATTTCATTAATTCATATTTTGTAATTCTATATTTTTTTTAATGAAGTAAGTCTCGCAAGTTTTACAAATACACAAATTAAATGCCTACTACAAGGTATCGGAGATGTAGGCTGATTAGAAAGAAAGAAAGAAAAAACATTTATTCAGCACCAGGCATGATGCAGCATAAATAAAATATAAAAAAAAATAAAGGTGTGATAGTGGAAGTAATAAAAACATTGAGCTGAAAAATTAAAACAGAAGAATTAGCTGACAACTTGATTAAATGTACTTATCAATTTTTACCAGTTGCTACAAGTTACCAACCACACATCCTAACTAACTTTAACATATTTTAATAATATCACTATCGCAATATCGAAGAAAATTTATAATAAAAGGTCTCTATTATTATTAAACAGGATCCTAATATTATTAAACTTCAAATTATAATTTTTCCTTTCAGAAGAGAGAATACAGACTATGAATCACACGGTATTAAAGTGGTAGATTACTATTTTAAACGTGCAAGTATACTCAAATTGGAACAAGAATGGCGCGAACACTTCTTGAAGAACATGAAACCTAAATATATGCCTGCTTTATGGTCCGTCAAACATAATGAAGAGAGGTAAGAAGCTTGAATTTCGCAATGTCTGTCAGACAGGGTAGAAGACTAATTTTGATTTTAATGTCCGTCTGGTAGATTATTTAAAAAAATTACACACGTATTTCTTATTTTCTTACGGAAACGAATAGTTTTGAAGATATATTGATTTGAAATGTCGCATGACGTCACTTCTATGTACATTTTATACGTAGAAATGACGTTTTAGCCCCCACTTCTAAACTTTGATTCGTTATACTAAGTATCATTTTATTATACAACTAAATAAAAAAATACGTGTCTAATATTTTTTCATTACCTAAATGACGGACTAATTAGATTTTTAATTTTCATACCCGGTCAGCATCCCAATTGTATAGTAATCTATTTGACGCATTGTTCATAATAAACGGTTCAAAAATCAAAATATGCGTCAGTAAAGCTTTAAAATATTTTAAGGTTTTGAGGTATCTCACTTTCAAGCCTCATCTCGATAATGAATCAGGAAAAAACCATCGAAATTGGCCCAGTCGTTCTCGAGATTTCCGTTACACACATGCAACTACTATACTAAAATTTTGTTTCAGATTACGAGTGAAATGGGACGAGGGCCGACTGACCCGAGAAGATATGAGATCAATTGGATTGACAACATTTTAATTTTTTTTTTATATTTATTACATGAATTTATGTTTCACATATTCATGTGTCCAAATATTTGGGCCAATGTTGGACGAATATTTGATTTGTTTTTGTCCGGAACTTGGTTTATTGGCTATATCTGAGTGACGGAACATGTGAGTACTGTATACGAATACGAAGAATTGCTCATAAGTGAGTAAATAGGTGTTAAGAAGATAAATAAAAGTTTTTAAATTACTGTATTTCTTTATAATATAATAGGTAGATGACTTACTTTTATTATAATGTCCGTCTGGTAGATTATTTTAAAACATTAGACACGTATTTTTTATTTTTGTACAGAAGCAAATACTTTCCATAATGTATTGATTTGAAATATAGCGTGACGTCACTTCTATGAAAGTTTTATACGTAAAGATGACGTTTTAGCTCACAATCCTAAACTTAAACAAAATAAAAAAAATCGTGTTTAATAATATTTCATGGCCTAACTGACGGACTAAATAGATTTTTAATTATCATAAATCGTTATCGTTCCTATTATATGTATATACAGCACTAACTCATTTTTCATGCATTTATTAGAATTTGTCATATCAAGGTTATCTATAAATTTTACTGTAGGTATGTTTTATACCAATATTTTAAAAACAACGGTTTTAAATTATTAATAAAACTGTAAATTACCAAATAAATGCAATTTTTATTTTTTTCTTGTTTTTTATTCTGTTCTCCGAGTTCCGACATATTTAAATAGCTATTTTATGGTAAATCCTGTGTATTATTTTTATTTTCCTGCCTATATCCGTTAGCCGTGGAAGACGAAGGGCCTTTGGAGGTCTTCATCTTATCCATTATCCCTTCCTACTTTCCTTCCTTTAAGTAAGTAACCCTTGTAAACTCTTAAATTTGTGAGCATGAGAATAATATACAATCGAATGTTTATTAATCATAACAATTGGAAACCACGTAAAAGTTCTTATGACATACATAAAGGCTAGGCAAAAAGGATTTATAAACAAGACCTCACTGAACTAGCACCATCTAGTGAGCACAAAATGATCGAGTAATCCTCTTTGGAGAAATCTTTCTTGTACTGCTTACAAAAATCGACAAGGCAAAATAATTATTTATTTTGTACTTTGTTTCTACTGCATTTACTTATACTCATAAAGCAGATTCCTAAAAAAATCCAAAACGCAATAATTATACAGACTTTTTAGAGAAACAATAGACAATTGCTATATCTATATTCCATCCACTAACGATTTGAGGGTTAATGGTATCATTCACTCATTCGATCTTTCATGTTATCCAACATTATGAAATGAAATGTCAAAGTTTCAAAATATTTCCGTTGTGTGTTGTGTTTATTGTTGATAGTGGAATTATCCAGTTTTTTAATCTTACAAAATACAGAACAAATTACGCTTATTACAAAAAGTAATAAATATAAAAATGACACATACTAAACAGCTTAAAATAACAAAGTTGTTTCGGAAAGGAGGTAAACACATTAGCCTCTTTTTTATTAATTTTGTAGCAATCTTTAATCAATTGGAGCCTTCATCTCTATATGTTAAAATAAATACAAGTTTCGTTGAATCCTCACTAATCTTCTAATAACGGAATTTACTTTCGCAAAGTAAAGTTGTTGTAGTATCTTTACGCACATTCTTCTTGAAATTTTGCAAACAAAATAGTTGACGAGTACAGAAAAAGGTTCATGTAATTCATCCGGACAAAATAGCAGTTAAATCTAGTTAATTAACTCATGATAAGGCTAAAATATCCGATTTAAATTCTAGCTTCAAAGTTGCCAGAAGATTGTGACGAACTACAGGAAGAGATACAACGACTGGAACTGCAACTGAAAGAAAAACAAGATGAATTGTTTCAGTTGCAAAGAAACAGTTATAGGCGGAAAGCTTCACCACCAAAGAAAAAGGCTGAACCATTTGTTAGGCCTCAGGTAACGTTGATCATAGTAACTTTATTAAGTTATTATTAACTTAATTTCCTAATGTTAATGTGATTATGAAAAATCCATAACATTTGTTCATACAAAAGAAGTCTCTAAACATAATAAAATCAGTGGAGAGTGGTGAGACTTTGAAATGCTTTGATTTTGACGGTCACCACGGCTGCTTGGGGATTGCTTGGGGACTGGGCAGTTTAGATTTTAGTACAAAGACTATTATTAAGATACACCTCTGTTGAACTGCATGGGAGTATTCTTGAACCTAAACCTACAATCTGGACCTCTTTAATCGGAACTCTCAACATTTTACTCCCATTCAGATTAGTGGAGCATTCGGATTATAGGGGTATAGATGATAACGGTATTATTTGTGAATAAAACTACTTAATACGTTCATAAATAATACAAAGTTGCATCTATAAACATTACATATTTTATTCAAAGCTTTTGGAGAAATCCAGTATATTGGTTTGTTGTGTGGTGTTTAAAGACAAATAAAATGCTTTTTCTCGTAATTTACGTAAAAGTATTTTTCCGCGGGGGCGTTCGGATTATACAGAGGTTCGGATTATAGGGGGTTCGAATTAAAGAGGTCCTACTGTATTACTTTTGTATCTCTGTTTGAGTGACAATAAGTGTTGACATAGATAATGATATTTGCAAAAACTTGTGTCATTTAAGGAGTAACTACTATGAGATTCTGCACAGGAGATGAATACAGAGATGAATTTTCTAGAATAAGTACTAGATATAAGATTGTATTGGTTTTATAAAGTGTATTATTCTTAAACAGTAATACAAAGCTATCAATTGTATCTTATCATCTCCTGTGCATAACTTTATATGGCGACCCTGTCAGTGCAATGAGTTTCTGAATAAGGAATACAAATACAATAATTTTATGCTATGTAGTGATAGTGTATGTACACTAAAACTACAGTATAAAAGAAAGTCGCTATCCGCCGTCTGTCTGTTCCTGTGTATGCTTAGATCTTTAAAACTACGCTACGGATTTTGATGCGGTTTTTTTTAATAGATAGAGTGAATCTTAAGGAAGGTTTATATGTATAATACATGCATATTGCACCTGTGCGAAGCCAGGGCGGGTCGCTAATAAAACAAAAATAAATTTCATTCACTATTGGATAAGTAAATTGCAATAATATTATAATAATACTGTGTCCGTTACCCAGGCCAGATGTTGTCGAAAATGGTCATTTCAATCTTATAGATAACTAGTTGTGAGGCTTCTGTAATTCTCGCGCACATTTTTAAATTTGTTGCGCTTATAGTATTTTAATTATTTTACAAAAGCATTTCCTGCTGGGGTAACGTTACCGCAACCAGACCTTTTCTTTCTAATGGGAATGAGAGTATTCTTGAACATAATCCTACAATCTGGACCTCTTTAATCGAAACTCTCAACATTTTACCCCCATTCGGATTATTGGAGCGTTCAGATTATAGGGGTATAGATGATAAGGGTTAATACCCTTTTTGGGTTTTGTGAATAAAACTACTTAAAATACAGATTTTGTATAATTTATGTACTGAACATAAATTATACATAGTCTGTATTTTTTTGAAGAAATCCATGTTTTTGGTTTGTCATGTGGTGTTTAATGACAAATAAAATGCTTTGTCTCGTAATTTATCTCATTTATTATCCAATGTACTGAGATAAAATTTTACTGATATACAACTGAACTAAAAAACTAATAATTGACATAACATTCACTTCATATATCCAATCCAGTGGCAAAATAACATCGCGCGCATCAATACCGTGACGAACTCAATATCATCATAACTTGTTAAATACTTTCAGGATACTAATGAAACTTCACATACATTTGAAGGCAGTTACAAGCTTTAAAATAACGTAAAATAAGTCTTTAGAGCTCTTATTGAGAGTGCTGGGACCAATTGAAGTGTTTTTGTATTTAATGAAATAACCTTTAAGCTATGTATTATTTTGGTTCTTTTATTGCAGAACAAATTTAAACTAATTCCTACTAAGCCATGTACAAAATATGATAAGAATCCCCTACCGTAAAAACGTTACCCCAGCAAAATCTAGAATAACTTCGCAACCGATGTAAGAACAAATACAAAATAAGGCACAACATTTATTTCATCTAGACAACTAATTTTATAGCTAGTAATTATTTAAATATTCCCAGTAGTAAGAAAAGGTCTGGTTGGGGTAACGTTACCCCAGCAGGAAATGTTTTTGTGAAATAATTAAAAAACAATAAGCGCAACAACTTTAAAAAAGTACCCATCAATTACAGAAGCCGCAAAACTAATTATCTACTAGATTCAAATGACCATTTTCAACAACATCTCTCCTGGGTAACACACACAACTATACACTAAGCATTTCTAAAATAACAGGCATTCTACAACTATCATAGTCGATCCTTTCATATATTTTAACAGTAACAAAGTATAGTAACTCCATATTTGGAAATTCCAGAAAATAGTCCTTTCAAATGCTGTGGACCGGCTGAAGGTGGATTTGGAGCTAATGTCAGTGCTGTCTGGCATAGAGGTGCAGTCTTATGTGCTGCAGGATCATTGTTGCATTGTCTACCACATGCAGCATGATTCTCAGCATCAGGTCAAACACGGATTGAGGATTGAACTTAATAATGGTATGTAGGATAATTAAATAGACCTATATTATTTTAATAGCAGTTCACCAGCAATATTCTCAGTAATCAGAATCAAATGGGTAATGTTGAAATTGGTCAGGATTGTTTGGCATTATATGAACAATAGATGATTAAGTTTTTTTTTTCGTTTTAAAATCATTGCCCCACACTAGGATTTTCTCCTGTGTCGTGGGTACGTTTACAAACACACGGTTTCACATACATATAACACCCAGACCTAAAACAGAAATTTATTGATCACACAAAGAGTTGCTCTTTGCGGGAATTGAACCCACTACGCATTGCATGGCAGCCAGTTGTCCAGCCACCGCATTAACTGTGCAGTCTAATCTAAGTATAATAATTATAATGAAACCATTTTTGGATGTCATAATCATAAATTTATTTGTTTTTAGGTTTAAATGAAGTATCAAAGTCTTCACTTCCGCTGGGATTCAATTTAGGAGCTGTGATGCAGGACTTTGATAACATAATGCTGCCAGAGTGTCTAGGAGCCATCAGGAAAGCCCTAGTTGCATATTACAACAGATTGGAACAATTTGAAGCTTTAAAGGTAAGAAAAACAATTTACAAAATTAATCTCTTTTAAAAATTAAAAATAATCATGTTATTATGTACCTGGCCTATATGTTTTAACAATGTATTTCGTATTTGTTTTCAGAAAATGTTGAACATAGAAGGAGAATTATTCAAGATACTTGACGGGTCCCACATGGAGATATCATTTGTAGCACAGAGTGATATGGATGAGGACGCCGAGCCTTTTGACATAGTGCTCATGTTGGACTACAGGGTCTATGACATTAGGCCCAAACAGTTTGCATTCAAGGAAATTGGTAAGAAGAAAATTCCTACTATCTTATCCTTACTATTATAAATGGGAAAGTGAGTTTGTTTGTTCCGCTTTCACGCCGTAACTTCTAAACCGATTGCTTTAAATTTATGCAGACGTAAAGTTAGAAGTCCTGATTAAATAATAGGGTACTTTATATCCAGGAAAATTTTGGTATTGCCGAGGGAAAACAAAAGAATTGTTATACATGGCGCTGTGTGTATTGGTATAGGCTACTTTTATCCTTTTGTGACGCGAGCGAAGCCGCGGGTAAAAGCTAGTTTTTATTATAAATGTCAAAGTTTGTGAGGATATGCGTGTTTGTTACTCTTTCACATCAAAGTGGTTGAAGGGATGGGGAATGATGAAATTTGGAACAGGGAAAGATTATGGTCTGGAATAATACATAGGCTACTTTTTATCCTATGGGAACGCGGGCGAAGCCGCTGGCGGAAGCTAGAAGTAATGTTATAATTATGTGGTTTGTTATTAACTCGTTGAGTACCGTCATTATAGACACAATTAAAGAACAATAGGTTGCGGTCACCGGTGACCGCTCGGTATTTGACAGTTTAAAGCGGTATACAGTTACACATAATATAACATCACGCTTTTTATCTCCGAAGAGGTAGACAAAAGGTGCCCACTACGGCACATATTGCCACTGCACAATGTAACACCCACTTTTCACTATTTATGTTATGAGTGACATGTAATAGGGGGTAAGCCAATTGCCATAAACCCGGCACATTTCCAGACTCCGTGCTACTACTGAGATATTTTTTAAAAACCTAGTAATACTTTACCCGACCCGCGAATCGAACTCGAGGCCCCATGCCCGGCAGTCGCTCTTGCGACCACTCGGCCAAAGAGGCAGTATATAGTTACATTACAGCGGTATTTACGAATTTATTTGTTCATAGTATAAATTGTATTTACAGATCTTCCTGAGGGTGCATCGGAAGTACTAAGACAACAGTGTGCGCCATTTAAAAGAAAACCTTTACACAGGGCTTTCAGAGAAACATTTATAGATGGAGTAGGTCCTTACAAGCTAGTTGAACAGGTAACATCACATTTATTACAACAGTTAGGTATTGTCAAGTGCGTTACCGGCCTTTTGGGATTAAGAATTTAAGGAATATTGGGGATTCAGGGATTGGGGAAGGGGGGAATAGTCGGGCATCCGGTAACCTCACGTCTGTGACGCCTGTGTCTGCTTCATACGTTTCTGTGAGGCCCTGGTATCACTCCGGTCAACCCGGCTCATTCGTGCCGAAGCATGACACTCCCAGACTTATTAATAGTATACTAGGTATGTTGTCTAGGCAGTTCCTTATAATGATTGGACTATTATAATAATGTATCCCTTATAACCTTCCTTGCCTTTTGCATACTTGTGCTTGATATATATGGATTCATTTTGTAATTGACTAACTTAATATAACAATTGTGTTATTTGCCGTTCCATCGTCTCCAAAAGAAGACAGGCATAACTATGGATGTATAACTTAACAATAAATGAGTTTCCACCAAGGATTCATTTAAGTCCCTCGATAAAACGGTGTGCGTTACCCAGGCCAGATGTTGTCGAAAATGGTCATTTGAATCTTATAGATAATTAGTTGTGCGGCTTCTGTAATTGTTGCGCGTATTTTGAAATTTGTTGCGCTTATAGATTTTTCATTATTTCAGAAAAATATTTCCTGCTGGGGTAACGTTACCCCAGGCTCCAGCCAGACCTTTTTCTTTCAAATGAGAATATTTAAATCATTACTAGCTATAAAATTAGTTGTCTAGATGAAGTAAATGTTGTGCTTTATTTTTATTTGTTCTTTCATCGGCTGCGAAGTTATTCGACATTTTGCTGGGGTAACGTTTTTGGTTTTGCTAGATTTAAGCGTATTCTTATCATATTTTGTACATAGCTTCTTAGGAATTAGTTTAAATTTTTTCGGCAATAAAAAAACTAAAATAATACATAGCTTTTAAAGGTTATCTTATTTCATTAAATATGAAAACACTTCAATTGGTCCCAGCACTCTCAATAAGAGCTCGAAAGACGTACTTTAAACGTTATTTTAAAGCTTGTAACTGCCTTCAAATGTATGAGAAGTTTCATTAGTATCTTGTAAATATTTAACAAGTTATGACGATATTATGTTCTTCACGAGCATGGTCTTGATGCGCGCGGTGTTATTTGGTCACTGGATTGGATATATGAAATGTTATGTCAATTATTAGGTTTTTAGTTCAATTGTATATCAGTATTCAGCTCGGTGCATTGGATAATTAATGAGATAATACGATTAAAGTCATTAGGCAGTGAATGAACGTGGTAAGGTGGTTACGAAAAAACGAAAACGCAAAACATTATGGTACCTTCTAAAATATGTAGGATAGTAATGTTACCCCAGCAAAATCTCGAATAACTTCGCAATCGATGAAAGAACAAATACAAAATAAGGCACAACATTTACTTCATCTAGACAACTAATTTTATAGGTAGTATTTTTTTAAATATTCCCATTAGAAAGAAAAACGTCTGGCTGGGGTAACGTTACCCCAGCAGGAAAACCAAAGCACGTTACCCCAGCAGCAGTGAAATAATTAAAAAACTATAAGCGCAACAAATTTAAAAATTGCGCAATAATTACAGAAGCCGCAAAAGTAATTATCAATAAGATTCAAATGACCATTTTCGACAACATTTGGCCTGGGTAACGGACACGATAAAATACTAGACCAACTGACATTTCACGAACAAAGCGATTAAAGGCAAACAAGAACTATGAATTTCTAACATGTGGTTTGCTTATACAGTTTGGGGGCCGTCCAGTGGAGATGCCGAAACGTCGTCAGAAGCGGTTCCGACCAAACAGGCGGGATTACAACAACGACGATACTTTCCTACCTGAAGAATGCTCCGACCACACTGATGAAGGAGACATGGAATGATAATATGCATGTGCTAGTATCTTGTTATGTTTAAATATAATATTTAATGTTTGTCAAATATGTTCTCTTATTACTTTGTATTTTCAAGCCCCTAAAGGCAGTTACTGCTTTTATTTCCTCTGCTGTTACGAGTGTCCGGCACGGGTTATAGAAGGCGGCACGGATTGCTTACCATAATACCATCAGGTGACCTGTCTGCTCAATTACCACCCTACCTATCTCATAAATGGCTTGGAATAAGTAAGATCGAACAAAAAATCGTTTTAAAATAGGTAGATGACTTATTTTTATTTTAATATCCGTCTGGTAGATTATTTTAAAACATTACACACGTATTTTTTATTTTTTTACAGAAACCAATACTTTCTATGTATGGTTTGAAATGTGGCGTAATATCACTTCTATGTACATTTTATACATAAGAATGACGTTATAGCCCCACCCAACTCCTAAACTTTGATTCGTTATTTCTAAATATCATTATACTAGCTTCTGCCCGCGACTTCGTACGCGCAATCCCATTTTCCCCCCGTTCCCGTTCGTGATTTTCGGTAAAAAGTAAAAAAAAAGTATTGTATAAAAAGTATCCTATGTCCGTCTCCTAGTTCTAAGCTACCTCCCTGCCAATTTTCATCTAAATTGATTGAGGCGTTCTTGAGTTATAAATAGTGTAACTAACACGACTTTCTTTTATATATATAGATTATACAACAAAGTATGTTCGTCAAAAACAATTTTAATAATTTTGACCGAGTAACCAGTCAACGTCGTTGTGACCAGTTACACTTATTAAAATCTAGAACTGCACTATACAGGAACAGTATCTTTGCAATGGCTCCAAAAATTTATAATAAACTGCCTAAATATATAAGAAACGAAAATAATATTAGACTTTTTAAACGAAAACTGACATTATTTTTAATTGACAAGACATATTATTCTATTGACATATTTCTAAATGATAAATTTTGACATACTATCATGATTCTTTTATACTTGTTTAATTTAAATATAAATGCTTGGTACCTGCCTAACTTAATAACTATTTGTACACCAATTTTATTGGTAGAACATAGAGATGCTATTAATGTATGTTAAACACCCTTCTGTATAACCTGTGTTCACAAATAAATTAATTTGATTTGAAATAAAAAAATACGTGTATAATATTTTTTCATTACCTAACTGACGGACTAATTCGATTTGTCATCATCCGTAATTTCTTTGTACTAATTTTATAAACTTCATATTTTGCGCACATATTTACAAGTAATAAAGTAAAAAAATTGCGTGCGTTACCCAGGTCAGATGTTGTCGAAAATGGTCATTTGAATCTTATAGATAACTAGCGACCCGTTCAGGCTTCGCACGGGTGCAATACTTATGTAAAAATACCTACTACAAAATGTCCTTATACACCACGTTCACAGCTATTTTGTCATTAGACAATACAAACATGTTTTATATTGATATTTTCCACGCTAGAGAGCTCCGATAAACGCGTACGATCGTTGCAAGTCATGAAGTGCTCTAGGACGAAACGCAGCCATCAACACCGCAACAAATACGTCCCTGCATTTTAAATTTGTAATGTATTCGGAAATATTCACTTAAATTACATGCTGTAAAAAGCATATTAATCTATAATAAAGTACTTAATTGGGTAAGGATTAATGCTGTATTGTTTAAAATCACTTCGTTAATATTGTAAATAACTATTGATAGTAAAGGATAAAAAATGGTTATGGTGGGTTATCCCTAATAGATAGACATATACCATCGCGGACTTTTTTGTTGAACTTTTTAAGGTGGTCGTAGTACATTATTTTGGTCTATCTCGTAGGGTACACCCAGCTTTTTGCAATATAAGCGCAAAAATAACGTGCTGATTTACGACATCACATTAGAAACCTCTAAATTTATCAGTGTTTCTCTACTATATTATGCATGTAATATACATGTAAAACTCCCTTAAGAATCACTCTATCTATTAAAAAAAACGCATCAAAATCCGTTGCGTAGTTTCAAAGATTTAAGCATACAAAGGGACATAGGGACAGAGAAAGCGACTTTGATTTATGCTATGTGATTAGTATTGCGGCTTCTGTAATTGTTGCGCACGTTTTTAAATTTGTTGCGCTTATAGTTTTTTAATTATTTCAGAAAAACATTTCCTGCTGGGGTAACGTTACCCCAGTGACCCCAGCTAGACCTTTTTCTATCTAATGGAAATATTTAAAATATTACTAGCTATAAAACTAGTTTTCTATAGATGAAGTAAATGTTTTGCCTTATTTTGTATTTGTTCTTTCATCGGTTGCGATGTTATTCGAGATTATGCTGGGGTAACGTTTTTGGTTTCGCTAGATCTTTGAAATGATTTAATGGATTCTTATCATATTTTATACATGCCTTCTTAGGAATTAGTTTGAATTTATTATGCTAGCAATATCCAAAATAATAAATAGCTTAAAGGTTATTTCATTAAATAGAAAAACACTTCAATTGGTCCCAGCACTCTCAATAAGAGGTGTGCGTTACCCAAGCCAGATGTTATCAAAAATGGGCATTTGAATCTTCTAGATCATTAGTTGTACGGGTTCTGTAATTGTTGCGCACATTTTTAAATTTATTGCGCTTATAGTTTTTTAATTATTTCACAAAAACATTTCCTGCTGGGGTAACGTTACCCCAGCCAGACCACTTTTTTCTAATGGGAATATTTACTAGCTATAAAGTTAGTTGTCTTGATGAAGTAAATGTTGTACCTTTGTATTTGTTCTTTCATCGGTTGCGAAGTTATTCGAGATTTTGCTGGGGTAACGTTTTTGATTTTGCTAGATCTTTGAAATGGTTAAGCGGATTCTTATCATATTTTGTACATGGCTTCTTAGGAATTAGTTTAAATTTGTTGTGCAGTAAAATAACCAAAATAATACATAGCTTAAAAGTTATTTCATTAAATAGAAAAACACTTCAATTGGTGCCAGCACTCTCAATAATAGCTCTAAATACTTACTTTAAACGTCATTTTAAAACTTGTAACTGTCTTCAAATGTATGTAATGTTTTCGCTTTTTCGTAACCACCTAAACTTGGTCGAGTTACCTCGGTCATTCACTTCCTAATGACTTTAATCGTATTATTAACTTTTCACTATTTATTTTACGAGTCCCATGTAATAGAGGGTGAGCCTATTACAGCTTTGTAAGATAATGTAAATCAACATTTTAAACACACAAATCCCACAGATTAGGTACCAGAACGGGAATTAAAAAAACCAACAAAATATTTTATCAATAAACTTTAATTAAAATAAAAATAAAAAAGAAGAATTTATACATCTTATTTTACCATAACTCATTCAAATTAGATCAGGCAAGTGATAGTACTGACTACAATAACATGTTGGATGATATTTGTGCGCATTCTTATAGTTCATTAATAATACAAATAAAATCGAGTAATGGCCGTTCCCACTAACCGCGCCCTTAACCATCTCTTAGCTAAGAGTTACTTAGCGTGAGCGAGCACCTTAACGAACTCCTTACCTTTATCTTTAGGTATCACATAAAGGTGAAATCAAAATTTCGTTAAGTGTGACTTATCGTAAGTCACACGGGTACTGAAAATGGGCATTAGACAAATAAAGAATAAATCTACTCTATTGCAAACTATTGATTACATTTTAAAAACCTGTTAACATTTTTTTTAATACAAACTAGATGTAAAAAAGTAAAGCGTAACGTGCATTGCCTAATTTTGCATTCATAAAACATGTCTTGGATAAAATCGTTGTTTGTTTCTGATAGTATATTGCGAAAGTTCGAAACAAGTTATGTTTTTGCTAATAATGCAAGGAACTAAATTCAAATAATTCACAGTTCCATCCTTTCGCAATAGACTACCTACATAGACGTTTTTTTTTCTAGAATCTATTGGTAAGTTTGACACTTAGCCTTTTAATCAAGAACAAGAGTCTAGCAGTGACTACAGCTTACTTAAATTAGATCCCTCAACAAATCTATTATATTTATGTAGAATTTAATTCGGAGATTTAGAAAACTTGAAATTGAACAAATGATCTAATATAAAATGGTATTATTTGAACATAGACAAGCATATTATATAATAAGTCTATATACATATTTTCAGCCTTAAATATAGGAAATAAGGAAGTATGAAGTTTCTCTATATCTATGGCTTATTGTTATTACTAATTAAAACAGTAATTAATAAAAAAACACTTGAGTTACTGCTGAAGTCAGCATGTATAGATTGTTTCATTTAGTAATAGCAATTTCATTAGTTTTTAATAGAATTAGATTTAAATAACCCAATATTTTTTAATAGAATTATAATATATTAAGTTCACCCCTTCATGTCAATATTTTAGTTTTCATGCATCACCATTTTACGTATAAAAAGATACAGAGGGTGGTAATTTGATAGAATTTTGTTTAAATAGGGGTTTAGACCATATTTCCAACATCTTCTTGGCCCAATCATTAGTAAGTTATTATATATTTTATAAGTGATTACATCCATCAAAGATTGCACTTTCAACAGGTAATAGCGTGTCTAGCACACTTAACTTTCAAAACTTCCATTCCCACAGTGCTTAGTATATTATAAAAATTATAAAAACGTTGCTAATTCTAATGTCTGTGATCTCACGACGCGACAGTTCAGTGTAACACTGCTAGTTGAGAATAAACCCTATTTTTTAAGAATAAGGTATATTTTTCTACTAGCAATTTGGTTGAAATATGTCGTTATTACAAGTATAATTTTTAAAGACATTTATCAAGTTCATCTCTGTTTAAATTGAGAATGAGAGAGCTTACAATATTTTTGCCACGGAATTATGAGCTTTGACAATTACGTCTACACTAGACTGTCGCGACAACAAATAATTCCTTTGAAGACAGAATAAAAGCAATTGTTTGAAGAAATTGAGTATGTTGTAAGTGGTAACAGATTTCATCCATTTTATAACGTAGCAATAAGTGCTTTTTTCGTATAAGATCTATTACTATGGTTTAATTAGAATCTCAAAGTTCTGCAACAATCACGTTGGTACACACTCAAAATATCAATTAAGTTGTCTTAAAGGATATATAAATATATTCAATTTTTATCACTTTTTCTTATTTAACATTCGTTTTGAGTCTTCCGTGCGCGATGGCCGGTAAATATTACTTGATTGTGGACTATTTGAGACATTAATACAGTAATTTCTACTAGAATATTAAGTTGCATTGCTTTTAAAAGAGACTTATGACGTATCCATTAGTTCATCAGTTTGCTTCGTTGTTACTTCTAAGAATAGTTCGATAGGAAATGCCGTCCTCATCTAGCCTAACTTAAAAGTGCTATTTTGTAGCCTATTTAAAATAAAAGAACAAAAACAAAATATTATCCTCGAACGAGAGCCGTTTAGTTCAGACAAATTTCATTAGACTAATCACATTTCCAAAGGTTCCATATAAGTTTAAGAGGTAAATAGCATTTTTTATATAACTATCAATAACTACAAAGTTTATGGTATGTTCCAAATGGTCCACAATCTTCAAGCAATGTAGATTAGTTATACCAATATGTATTGGTTAAGTATTTACCGACCGGGGCGGTGTAACGCTCAGACGCCGCGGTTTGGTAGCGGCTTCACTTTGTAGATACGAACAAGCCAATGTTCAGTGGTGTACGCTTCCTCTAGTACGTCTAAGTTAAAGTCCTTGTTGCCGATCTCAGCGCCACGGACGCGGTCGAAACCGGGCGGTCGACCTACGGAAAAGAAATAAGGTTTTAAATGGGAGAAAATGAAGCAATTTTCGCAATTTTTCTTTTTATAGAATATTAAACATTGAAATCATTACATTTATTTGATATAACATGCAAATAGGGCTTCTGAACAATCAAAGCGCTGTTTTTAATGTGTCCGTTACCCAGGTCAGATGTCAAAATGGTCGTTTGAATCTTATAGATAATTAGTTTTGCGGCTTCTGTAATTGTTGCGCACATTTTTAAAGTTACGCTTATAGTTTTATAATTATTTCACAAAAACATTTCCTGCTTGGGTAACGTTACCCCAGCCAGACCTTTTTCTTTTTAATGGGAATATTTAAGTTATTAGTAGCTATAAAATTTATTGTCTAGATTAAGTGAATCTGTGCCTTATTTTGTATTTTCATCGGTTGCGAAGTTAGGTTAGGTCTTAGGTATTAGTTTAAGAAGCCATGTACAAAATATGATAAGAATCCGCTTAACCATATCAAAGATCTAGCAAAACCAAAAACGTTACCCCAGCAAAATCTCGAATATCTTCGTAACCGATGAAAGAACAAATACAAAATGAGGCACAACATTTACTTCATCTAGACAACTAATTTTATAGCTAATAATAATTTAAATATTTCCATTAGAAAGAAAAAGGTCTGGCTGGGGTAACGTTATCCCAGCAGGAAATGTTTTTGTGAATTATTTAAAAAACTATAAAAGCAAAAAAATTAAAAATGTGCGCAACAATTACAGAAGCCGCAATACTAATTATCTATAAGATTCAAGTGACCATTTTCTACAACACCTGGCCTGGGTAACGCACACGTTTAAATTATTTTTGGTTGAAATGAGTCACGAAATTATAAGTAGTTTTCTAATAAACTAAAAACATTACTCATTACTTAGTCCCTAGTTTGTCTTTAAAGTTATTGAGTTACCTCGTTGAACGCTTATGCCAGTAACCTATAAACATAATAATCAAAGAAAAATAGATCTCAATAAATAGATAACATACCTCCTTCAGTATAAACTAGTCCGAACTTGTAGTAGCTCATCTTGTACATGAGGCAGTTGAGTAGAGTTTGTGATCCGTCGGCATCGACTCTGAACTCTCCGGAGGGAGTGTAGTAGTCTGCCTCGCGGATATGCGCGCCACGGTCCGTGCTGCCACCGATACGGACCATCCACAGGAACTTGTTGATATCTGTGAATATTTGTTATATTAAACAAAAACTATTATAATAACAATGTGTTTTGACTTAATAGGGTTTTTTTAAGGGGGGAAAATCATCGAATGACTTCTCCCGCCTGTGTGAGGCGGGAGGAAGTGTTAGACTCTTACTGACTAAAAACCACCCCGTTCCTTCTCCTGCACGTCGAGCCGGAGCCCCGGTAACCCGTTAGGTTCTCCGCGACTGACTTAATAGGGTAGTTTATATTTTAATGTCGGTCTGGTAAATTATTTAAAAACATTAGGCACGTATTTTTTACGAATAGTTTCGACGATAATTATATTGATTTAAAATATCGCATGACGTCACTTTTGTGTACGATTTATAAATTATATTCAAAATAACGTAGCTACTTCATCTCCTAAACTTTGATTCGTTTTATCTAAGTATTCTAACCTTATACGAGAAAATAAAAAAATATGTGTCTAATATTTTTTCAACAGACTATTTAGATTTTCAATTGTCATACCCTGTCATCATACCTATTATAAGTTTGAAATTGTCAACCCACATTGAGCGCGCATTAATACTTAAACTGAACGGTGTGAGAAGAGGCCTTTGGTTATCAGTGGCCACATATAGGCTGTATGATGCGATGTCTGTGTTATGAATTATTTTATGACAGAATTTTGGCGATGTACAATTTTTTTCAAGTTTTGTCCTCGTTTGTCGTCTTTGTAATATTTATCTATCGTCTAACTTAAAAATGGGAATCGTCAAATAGTTTACTTAAATTAGGGCCGATTTGTCAATTAAGAGATTTTTTTTGCATTTTTTTTTGAGAAAATCAATAGATAGTTTTTAACTATAGACTAAAATTGACATTGGACAGTTTTTAATATGGAAGAATGTCAAATATTCAGTTTTCCCTCTGATAAAATTTATCTGGCAATTTTGCGTTGAAAAAATCAGCTCTTAGTTATACAAATTACTACTATATTTAACAAAAACTTACCATCAGACGAATACCCGACCAATCCTCCAAATATAACAAGTACATAATCAACATCGAGTTCCCTCATAATTTCATAGGCTTTGTCTTCAGTGGACGCCATGGCCTGTCCCACGCGTGATATGTGTGTGTTGTTCCACGTATTATTGTCCACTATCACTGTCCGATTCGCCATCGCTGTTATCTGATACCCGTAGTCCCACCATGACATAACTTTTGAGTCCTACAATTAAAAATGGGCGTTAGATTTTATCTCGGCTGTGAAATATGATATTTTTGAAATGAGAATTACGTAAATCGAAACAACAGTTGCACTTGTTGAACCTCTTACTAGAAAAGCTAGATCAGCGAATCATTTTAAAATTCAAACTTAGACTTTGAAAAAATCTATTACAATGAGTTGGTACTGACGGCTACACATCGAGCTTTACATAACGAGTAAAAGTCAAAGTCAAAGTCAAAGCATTTATTTCAATTAAACCATAGTTTGGTGCTTTTGAAACGTCAACAAATACAAAATAATTATAGTCTGTCAGTCAGTCCGTCAGTGAAACTAGGTGAAGCTAAGTGCTCATTCCAAAAAGTAGATTCGAATGGAGAAGAACGAGCAAGAAACTCCATTCGTTACTCTTTTTAAAAAAAGTATGTTCTACAATGTCTCTGATACATATTTCAATACTGTACGCATATGTAAGAACAATGCAAAGACACGCTTGACGCATTATACTAATAACTTACAAAAATTAAAAAAAAATAAATAAATAAAAATTAACTTAAAGTCCAACATGGTGCTCACATATGCATACTGACAATCCATAGAATTAGTGCTTCTATACAAGAAAAGGAAACTCTTTGTTTCAATAAAGAAATGCTCGATGCCATAAGGAAACTAGATTGTCTACATTAGAATTAAAGTGTTAAATTTTGTATTAAAATACCTACTATTGGAATTTAGCTACTGACTACATTTGAGTATTGTCCAGTGGAGCCGAACCAACATGCTGCCAAGCATTCTTATCTTCAAGATAATCTGTCTAAATAATAAACTGAACGTTAAATGTGCGGAAAGATGATGCGACGCGAGACCAGAATAAACTGGTTTTGTATAGATTGATGTGTGGCCGTGTGTACTTGATTTCGGTACAAAACTAATACAAGTGAAATACACAGTAAAGCCATGCAATTTCATTACAGTTATGCAATTAATCCCCCTATCTATACTATTAAATAAATCAAATACCAGTAATCACGTTTATATTGAAACTTTTTTGAGACATACTAAATCAGTTATTATGTTTTCGGTTTACTCACGTAACTGTTTGACGAGGAACTCGACTAGTTTCAAGCCATCCTAGAGACTCATATAGAGATAGATATAAGAGCAGCATTCCGTCGTGTCGCGGAAACGAGTAAACTAGTCGAGGTCCACGTTAAACAGTTACGTGAGTAAGCCGAAACTATAATACATAATTAATACCAGTAATTTACTTTATTTATTTAGACTTAATACAAAACCATATGTACAGGTGGACTTAATGTCTTGGGTATTGTCTTACAGTCAACCTTAATCATGTAATAAGCAGTTGTCAAATGCCATTTCGCGCTTGTCTTCATGTAGAATAGAAAACCTAATTATATGAAATTGACGTAAATTGACACTTGTTAGTGTCATCCCCATTTTCTACTCTCTCTGTAGACAAGCGCTAAAGTGGCGTTTGACTAAAGGCCAAGGAGTAATCATGTTGCTAGAACTATTAGAACTTATCTTGGTTAGTTCACATGGAAAGAAAGAAAGAAAGAAAAGCATTTATTTAGCACCAGGCACGATGCAGCATAAATAAAAAATAAAAAAAGACAATCAAGATGCGACAGTGGAAGTAATAAAAATATAAGAGTTGATACATTGAAACAGAAGAATTAGAAAAGAGACGCTGATAACATGCCTATGCTAAAAGGGTCACCCATTCAGTGTAAGCCAGGCATACAGGTTACCCAGCACTGATTTTCAGTGGGCACCCATGCAGTGACATGGGTATGAAATATCAATTATTAACTTAACCCCAAGCGGTCACCGGTGACCGCTCTCCACTAACTACATTACAGACCTTATTTCCAATGTTTAGAGACTACTTTTGTATGAACAAATTTAGGGGATAATTTTTAACAATTTTCAACGGTTTAACAAAAATTCAACTTACTTCTGGAGTATTCATCTTGAGCCAAGTGTAAGCTTCGCGGAAGTCGTCGAATATAATCCTGGCGCCGTCGTGCGCCCGCGCGGACAGTACGATGGAGGGCGAGGAGTACGCCTCCGACGTGACCCAGGTGCAGTGGAACACGTACGATATCAGCAGGCAGCCCAGCACGCACACGAATAGAGCTCCCACCTGGGAACAATAGCTTTTGTTACTCTCTTTTAATATTGTTTGTACACAAAGATTTTAGTTTATCTGTCTCTACAAATATTTAAAAATATATCGCTGTTTCGAGATTATGGCAAATCGAGATTGCTTCGAGATTTGCCAAGAGTTTAAGAGAGAGCCAAAATATTATCCAAGAGTAATTCTTGGATAATATTTTTGTATATTTAGGGTCGATTTTTCCAACGACAGATAAATTGTTTTCGAGGGATAATATTGAATATTTGACCATTCTTCGTCCATACTAAAAAATTTTATTCTACAGTTGAATTATCTGTTGATTGAAAAATCAGCTCGTTCATTTGCGAATTGTGTCAGTGTAGATTAGGTGTCAGTAACTGATACTGATACCGAGTTTGTTAAAATCTCTGAACTTAGCAGACGGGTTAGAAACACTGACTGGTCTCTTTAATCACTACATAGTATAAAACAAGTCGCTATCCGCCGTCTGTTTGTCCCTATGTATAGTTACATCTTTAAAACTACGCAACGGATTTTGATGCGGTTTGTTTTAATAGATAGTGATTCTAAGGAAGGTTTATATGTATAATACACGCATAACAGAACCACTGATAAATTCAGATGTTTCTAATTGCACCCGTGCGAAGCCGGGGCGGGTCGCTAGTACTTTTACATAACAAAATCTACATACCTCAGATCTAAACACTAAATTATTTTCATGCTTCTTCTTCTTCTCGTGCTTCTCAACTTTAGGTTCAATGTCCTTTACATGTAGACTGAGCAGACTGGACGCCGCAACTCCAGACACGATGCACATGACCGGAGCCAACACGAGCATTAAACGCACCATCACACCCTGTATAACAAGAAGAGAGTTAGAGAAAGAGTTGGCGAGTGGAGTAGGAGTTTGAGAATAGAGATGTCAGAGATCAAAGTGTGAAAATCATGGGCGGAGTCAACGGAGTGAACTCTACGTGACTCGACGCGCTCAAAGCTTCATTGTGTCATCATTATATTGTGAGAAAATAATTGTAACGATATTATGATTCTAGTTAAAAACGGTGACTAAAAATGAAACGCATTTTCCTTTCAATATATTTGTAAACTAGACTTATTTTCATTGAAAACCGTAGCATAGTGACTTAAACTCAGTGATTAATATGAAATGATAATAATGAAAGAGAAATCCTATTCTGGGGTCTATAATATAATCAAAACATTAACCTCTAATTTAACATAACACAACATCACGCCTTTTTATCCCCGAAGGGGGTAGGCAGAGGTGCACATTACGGCACTTAATGCCACTGTAAAATGTATCACCCACTTTTCACTATTTATGTTAGGAGTCCCATGTAGGGGGTGAGCCTACTGCCATATACCGGGCACATTTCCAGACTCCATGCTACTACTGAGATTTTTGAAATCCCAGTAATACTTTGCCTGACCTGGGAATCGAAACCGAGACCCCTCGTCCGGCAGTCGCACTTGCGACCACTCGGCCAACGATCTCTTATTTTCTAACGCAATATCCACCTTACCGACAAAAAAATAAGTATCAACTTACCGCAAAATAAATACTGAGGACTCCGTACAGGATGATGAAGATGTTAGCATCGGTCAGCTTACTGAAGCAGAAGTACAGACCAGCGGGGAACAGGAACACGAGGACTTGAAGGTCGAAGTAGAATGATGACCAGGAAGTCGGTTGATGCTCAGAGACCGATGCTGGGAAATGAAAGATGTGTGTAAAGTTATAGAGTATAATTTCAATTGTCCTGTTTGTGGTAATAAAGTCGGGATTTTATTTGGCGAAAGTTATGGATGTAGTGACAAAGTGTAATTTTGTTTAAAGTCTTGTAGTTGTAAACTTCAAACAATAAACTATAAGTTTGTAAGTACTTACCGATGATAGGAATGTGGTTCTTGGCGTATGACGGGTCCAGTAGAGAATAGAAACGTCCAGTCCATGGCGAGATTTTACCTACAACGAAAACAAACATGTTAGAGATGTTTAAACAGAAAGCACAAATAAAAACAGTTTACAAATACACATACACATACACACATAATTATTTATTTTAGTTTTTAATCTTTTTTTGTCTTAATATTTCATGTGGCTAATGTTTTTTTCAGTGCCTAATAAGCAATAATCATAAAAGGTGTTGTTTTAAATCCGCGTCATTTTCTAGGAGGTAACTCGGCTATCGATTCTGAGTCCGAATCAATAAAAAAATGTAGGTAAATATTTTTAATTTTTCTGTATATTACGGAAATCCGTAAGTGCGAACTACACGCCGCCGTCTTGTAACTAGCTTTATAACACGGCTTAACGCACACAAACACGTAACTGATATTATTCCTAATTCCATAAAACTCCAATAAGAAACATCGCTGTCGCTTATTCTGAAATACTGTCGAACTTAAACGATTTATTATAGCCGTATTTTTAAGGACGCGTTTACGCATCTAACAAAAATAAGCAGTTTTTCGGTGGTTTTTGCGGCAAAATAATATAGAATCAAATGTAACTAAAAATGACCACAGATAGATTACTTCTTAATCTTCAAATGGTAGTAGTTTTTTATTTGATAATTTTGGTTTATAATATTGTAAAAAATAATTTCTGTTGCCTCTTCACACAAAATTGACGAAATCGTGCTGACTTGAGGATCATTTTTCTTTTATTTAACTCGTCGAGTACCGGTTTTATAGACACAATTAAAGAACAATAGGTCGCGGTCACCGGTGACCGCTTGGTGTTTGACAGATTAATAACACAAATATAATTATTTAAAAATATTTTACGTAAGCAGATATGTCCAACTCAAAAAGGTAGAAAAAAAATCTATCAAAATGTTACAAATAGGCTGAAAACAAAAGTAAAATCGAATCTTATTTTTACACATTATTAGCCGTAACGAAAGATACTTATTGGATTGAAATAAGGGTTATTTTCCTGGTCACTAGACTTGATTTATTGCACAAAAATTTGTAATGAAATTTTAGTTTGCGCTCGGGCGCCGTCGTGAGTGGACACTGTGTCGCTTGTAAGCAGCTCCTCGTTTACGAAAATATCGCTGTACGAACACAAAATATTTGCCCTACCAAACTTGATACTCACGCATTCTGCACCGACTACAGACAACCAAGGTAAGATTTTATACACAGTTTCATATACTTATAGGAATATATTTTATTTAGTTTTGGACTTGATGGAGTGACCTGCAGGTGTACTTCGAAGACTGCTACTGGAACTAATAGACGAGTGGAGCTAGGTGTGCCGAGTTTGGGCTCGTTTTGTTAGTTATGTTGAGACCTTACCTCCGGACTTGATGGAGTGACCTGCAGGTGTACTTCGAAGACTGCTACTGGAACTAATAGACGAGTGGAGCTAGGTGTGCCGAGTTTGGGCTCGTTTTGTTAGTTATGTTGAGACCTTACCTCCGGACTTGATGGAGTGACCTGCAGGTGTACTTCGAAGACTGCTACTGGAACTAATAGACGAGTGGAGCTAGGTGTGCCGAGTTTGGGCTCGTTTTGTTAGTTATGTTGAGACCTTACCTCCGGACTTGATGGAGTGACCTGCAGGTGTACTTCGAAGACTGCTACTGGAACTAATAGACGAGTGGAGCTAGGTGTGCCGAGTTTGGGCTCGTTTTGTTAGTTATGTTGAGACCTTACCTCCGGACTTGATGGAGTGACCTGCAGGTGTACTTCGAAGACTGCTACTGGAACTAATAGACGAGTGGAGCTAGGTGTGCCGAGTTTGGGCTCGTTTTGTTAGTTATGTTGAGACCTTACCTCCGGACTTGATGGAGTGACCTGCAGGTGTACTTCGAAGACTGCTACTGGAACTAATAGACGAGTGGAGCTAGGTGTGCCGAGTTTGGGCTCGTTTTGTTAGTTATGTTGAGACCTTACCTCCGGACTTGATGGAGTGACCTGCAGGTGTACTTCGAAGACTGCTACTGGAACTAATAGACGAGTGGAGCTAGGTGTGCCGAGTTTGGGCTCGTTTTGTTAGTTATGTTGAGACCTTACCTCCGGACTTGATGGAGTGACCTGCAGGTGTACTTCGAAGACTGCTACTGGAACTAATAGACGAGTGGAGCTAGGTGTGCCGAGTTTGGGCTCGTTTTGTTAGTTATGTTGAGACCTTACCTCCGGACTTGATGGAGTGACCTACAGGTGTACTTCGAAGACTGCTACTGGAACTAATAGACGAGTATATATTCTGCTATTTCAATATTTTTTTTTTTTTTAGATGCCAAAGCCTAAGACGTTCGGGAAAAGCTCGCGGAAGAAAGTTTACGCCTGTAGACGTAACTTAGAAAAAAGATTTCGGTTAGTACTTATATGATTATTAAAAATACATAAATGATTGAAATTATTTAATGTCATAAGATCTTTTTTCTTATTTTTTCACAGGCAAAACGATGACGGTAGTCGTGATGATACATCCGAAGTGCATCCGGAAAGAACCGACCAACAAAGTTGTAGTACTTCTGATAAAAACAGTATGGAAATATCTTACGTAAGTTTTTTTAATGAATTTTAAATTACTGATATATGATTTGTTTAAAAAATAACAAGTAATTTTTTTCTATTTTGTTTATAGGAAACGAACTATGAGGAAACAGAACCGTTCCAGGTTTCAGGAAGAAGAGTTGTAGAAATAGGTTATTTTATGAAACAGCTTCAAGAAATCAGTAACCATAATTCCATGTTTAGTTGTAATTTAGGTACTGTTGAAATGTTAAATGAAAAAAGGACTGGACTTAACTCAACTTTTCATATGAAATGCCGAATGTGCAGCAAAGAGTTTGTATTAAAATCTTCCGAGTATTCGGCAAATAAAATGGATGTGAATGAGGAAATTGTGGCCGGTATTATGAGTATTGGTGCCGGAGTTACACAGCTAAATACGGTTCTTTGTCATATAAATATAAATCATATATATATAAAAGAAACATGGAACTACGGGAACATTCATCCCATTGTCATAATAATATATTGAAAAATAAAAATTTATAAAAAAAAAGTTTCTTGTTTTTCTCTACCCTATTCCACACTACCCTACTCCTCAAACAAAGCCTAAACACTTGGTTTGGATTGGTGAGCCCGTTCTTGAGTTATAAATTTACAACGAAAAGTGGCATTGATTTTTATATACATAGAAGATTAATGTTTCAGTATACTGGCACTTTAAAAGTATTTGTGTACCAAATAAACGTATTTTGTAGTTTTGGGAACCCACTTTCATTTGATACTAAAACAAAATTATACATATATAGGGTGATGGGTAATTAATGTCAGCTGCTCAGTAGATTAGGCAAATATAAATGTACTGAACAGCTGATTTTTTTTTCGCGATTTCAAGTTTGTTCCCATAGAAAAAGTTGTTTGTTATCATGAGCACAATCACGTGTTTAAGTATTGTACACTAATTACCCATCACCCTATATAATAGGTAGGTACCTAAAAAATTTTACAAGAAAAAAAAACTAAGTACTTGAAAAGTTATTTTTCACTGTGTAGTTGTTTTTTTAGGGGTTGTCATTAGATAATTTTTACGCCATAAAAAACGGGTCACTCCAAGTAAGAGGCAAACTCTCAACATAACTAACAAAACGAGCCCAAACTCGGCACACCTAGCTCCACTCGTCTATTAGTTCCAGTAGCAGTCTTCGAAGTACACCTGCAGGTCACTCCATCAAGTCCGGAGGTAAGGTCTCAACATAACTAACAAAACGAGCCCAAACTCGGCACACCTAGCTCCACTCGTCTATTAGTTCCAGTAGCAGTCTTCGAAGTACACCTGCAGGTCACTCCATCAAGTCCGGAGGTAAGGTCTCAACATAACTAACAAACGAGCCCAAACTCGGCACACCTAGCTCCACTCGTCTATTAGTTCCAGTAGCAGTCTTCGAAGTACACCTGCAGGTCACTCCATCAAGTCCGGAGGTAAGGTCTCAACATAACTAACAAAACGAGCCCAAACTCGGCACACCTAGCTCCACTCGTCTATTAGTTCCAGTAGCAGTCTTCGAAGTACACCTGCAGGTCACTCCATCAAGTCCGGAGGTAAGGTCTCAACATAACTAACAAAACGAGCCCAAACTCGGCACACCTAGCTCCACTCGTCTATTAGTTCCAGTAGCAGTCTTCGAAGTACACCTGCAGGTCACTCCATCAAGTCCGGAGGTAAGGTCTCAACATAACTAACAAAACGAGCTCAAACTAGAAAAAAAAAAAACTGTCCATCCATGAAATCAATGAAATTAGGTTAATGGTACCTATATGTACCATTATGATTACTAATGAAAATGGTTACAAAAGTATACATATAATATACTTTTGTAACCATTTCACGTTACAAACCAAATCAAAGTTAACTTAAAAAAAACATTGCAAAATTAAATAAAAATAACTCAAGTATCAAGTCGTGTCAGTTTACACATAATTTCACCGCTTCGCGCATTTCGCTGTGTGTGTGTGACATGCACGTGTAGTAGTAAGACTCAATACCTAAAATTGAAGCGCGTCAATTCGTAAACGCGTCCTTAAGTATAGGCCTGAAATTTTCTCTTACATTGAACCTTTATGACTTTTGTGACATGCCCCCTAGAAATGACACGGTTTTAAAACTACACCTTGTTTAACTCAAGACATTGATTTTATTCAGATATAAAAATATACAATGTTTAAACATCTCACCGGTAAGTGTAAGGGCGACCAAGGCAGTTCCTAAAGTAGCCAGCAAGGTGGTCAGCAGGGCTTTGAATAGCAGCTCGAAGTTCGCCGGGGACAGGTGCTCGCGCAAGTATTGGGTGAAGGCATACAGCTGGCAGAGACCGAACGTACCTAAAGCCTGGGGAATAAAGTCATTTTTCGATATAGAGACGAACCACTTTTCGAAGGGAGTGTCAGACTCTTACTGACTAAAAACCACTCTGTTCCTTCTCCTGCACGTCGAGCCGCAGCCCCGGTTACCCGTTAGGTTCTCCGCGACATATAGAGACATTAAATATTGACATAAAAAGGGTATTATTTTGGCCATATCATTATATGGTTGTTTTACTAGAGGTAATAATAATAAAACCAGTATGTTTAGTTGAAATGAAATAATATTTTATGTTTCCACATGCTTTTTCTTATTATAGAACATATAGATTAGTAGAAGTCAGAGTTTAGGCCAAGACTTAAATACGGACCTCAAGATGTAGCTACAGAAAATTAAGCATGTCAAATTATGACCACAGTAAACATTATTTACACCGCAATATTCACATTACAAAACTGAAAAGTTTATTTATACTCGTAATCTTACGAACTCGCACGAATCTGGACAAATGAACATAGGCTTTAGTACGAATTTGGTTTACGTTTAAAATAATTTACGAGACCGCGTTCGACCTTATGATTGGTTGGTTAATCGGAGCCGGCCAATCAGAGCGCCAGACACGTACTCGTATTAACTAAGCCCATAAAGGTCTTAGTATGAATTGGTATAAGTTTAAAGTAATCAACACGAGACTGCGTTCGACGCTCTGATTGGTTGGTTAATTGGAGCCGGCCAATCAGAGCGTCAGACGCGTACTCGCACTAACTAAGCTCTCAGAGGCCTTAGTACAAATTTGTTTTACGATTAAAATAATCGACACGAAACTGCTTTCGACGCTGTGATTGATTGGTTGATTGGAGCCGGCCAATCAGAGCGCCAGACACGTACTCGTATTAACTAAGCCCATAAAGGTCTTAGTATGAATTGGTATAAGTTTAAAGTAATCAACACGAGACTGCGTTCGACGCTCTGATTGGTTGGTTCATTGGAGCCGGCCAATCAGAGCGTCAGACGCGTACTCGCACTAACTAAGCTCTCAGAGGCCTTAGTACAAATTTGTTTTACGTTCAAAATAATCGACACGAAACTGCTTTCGACGCTCTGATTGATTGGTTAATCGGAGCCGGCCAATCAGAGCGCCAGACGTGTACTCGCACTAACTAAGCTCTCAGAGGCCTTAGTACAAATTTGTTTTACGATTAAAATAATCGACACGAAACTGCTTTCGACGCTGTGATTGATTGGTTGATTGGAGCCGGCCAATCAGAGCGCCAGACACGTACTCGTATTAACTAAGCCCATAAAGGTCTTAGTACGAATTCGTTTTACGTTTAAAGTGCGTTCGACGCTCTGATTGGTTGGTTCATTGGAGCCGGCCAATCAGAGCGCTAGACACTTAATCGTAGTAAGCCCTTAAAGGTCTTAGTACTACTAGAATTGGTTTTACGTTTAAAGTAATCGACACGATATCGCGTTTGGCATTATCTGTACAATTGACACAATAAACAAAACAAAATTACTTTTAGAAACTTACCAGCATATGTTCAGAGCTCTGTACAGGTTGGAAGCCGACGAAGGAGATCTGCATAGACAGGATAGTTCCTACACAGTACAAGGTGCTGTACGCCACGTACACTCGCGCAGAGAAGCGACCGAGCAGCATTAGAGCTAGCACGTGCAGAGGGATCAAGTTGATTAGGAACACGTAGCCACCCCATGATGATACCTGTTGGAGAATACATTTTGTTTAGAGAGGGGGTCAAATTTTTCTGGTATGGCAAATGAAATTAGATCTTATACTACCTATTACATAAAGCTGAAGAATTTGTTTGTTTGACCGCACTAATCTCCACTACTAGTCCGTTTTCAATAATTATTTTTGTATTCGATAGTGCATTTATCGAAGAAGGCTATAAAATATCACGCTGCGATTAATAAGAGCTGCGCAGAGCGGGTAAAACCGCGCGGAAGCAGTTAGTGCATTATGGAGTAAGATATAATAAGTAATGTAAATAAGTAATAGTAGGTAACATTTTAATGATATACATAAAGCATTCTTTTAATTTAATAATATTGTTTGATTAATTTTTATCGACTGCCTGCCTCGACTGTCTCGTTGGTCGAGTGGTCGCAAGTGCGACCGGGCAAGGGGTCTCGGGTTCGATTCCCGAGTCGGGTGAAGGATTATTGGGTAATTTAAAAAAATCTCAGTAGTAGCACGGAGCCTATAAATGTGCCCGGTATATGGCAATAGGCTCACCCCCTATTACATGGGACTCATAACTTAAAATAGTGAAAAGTGGGTGTTACATTGTACAGTATTAAGTGCCGTAATGTGCACCTCTGCCTATCCCTTCTGGGATAAAAGGCGTCAAATTATGTTATGTAATTTTATGGAAAATACCTATCTATGAATTAAAGATCGTTTAACAGCTTGAGACCTTTCTCCTTCTTCTTAGTTTTTAATAATGTTGGAATACACCAACAAACATTGTTTTTGTGTACGACAGAGCAAAAACCAAAAAGTTAATTTCAAAACTCATTGGTGTGAAACTGTCATCTTTATGATCTTTGATTGGCTTTTAGATATCTATGTTATAAGCATAGAAATCTATTACAACAAAGTGTACTAGTAAAAAGTCAATCAGCGCTTTATCAAACAACGTACGTAATATTACATATATTTTATAGCTTGAATATGAATGGGGCCGTCGGTAGAGGGCGTCTTAGACCAGATTGACGATATATTAAAGAAGGGCCAAATTAAAAGTACCCTTAACCGACGAGCATGCATGAAAAGATTGATGACTGTTGATGAAGCGAAAGAGGTATGAAGGAATCGTAGTAATTGGCGTTCCTACCCCCATGGGAAACAGGCGTGAAGTTATGTATGTATGTATGTTTATAGTTTGAAGTAATTTGAACAATACATTTACAGACTTTTACAACTACTTCGAAATTAAATAAACACATAATCAATATTTCAAGTAATTGGCAATATAACTAGTGTATGCAATTATTTTCTTATCAAAACTCCATACTTAATAAATTTACAATCACTTTGGCATAAATTATCAACATGCTTACCATGTAGAAATAAGCGAGAGCAGTCATGGTGGCCCAAAGTATAGTTCCAGTGTTAACCGCTTTGATCCAGAAGTAGTATGTCAGCAGCATGCAGAAAATGGCAATGCCTTCGTTATCATAACTTCCTGCAACTGAACGACTGATGTAGCCCGGCACTATGGCAATCATGGCGGCCGCCACGAGACCAGCACCTTCATCCTGTTGAATTAGAGATTATATTACTTTTCGAAAATTTTCCTGTTAGTAGTATTATAATTAGAACTATGTAGTATTTCTTGGGGATAAGCTGGTAAATTAGCAGACGAATCACCTGATGGTAAGCAATCCACACCGCCCATGGACACTCAAAAACCAGATGTACAAGTGCCTTACCAGCCTTTTGGGGATTAGGATTAGTTTTTGGGCCACTGGTAACCTAACTCACACGACGAAACACAACGCAAGCGATGTTTAACGTCGGTTTTCAGTGTGGCTGTGGTATCACTCCGGTCGAGCCGGCTCATTTGTGCCGAAGCATGGCTCTCCCACATTTAAAATAGTAGTACAAAACGGTAGGGATGAATTTTACGATGTCCAATGTCAATTATCTGCTTCATATTACAGGGCTTACAGCAAATGTTTTTCTTGATATGTAGTTCATCAGTCACTCAAATAGTATCTTGTTTGTAAATAACATAACAGGATGACAACAGTAAAATCCATAACTAGTAAAAGTGAGTGTACTATCACAACTTCATGCATATTTGTTTGCCCTATGGCCCTGTAGGATAACAAGATATGTAACTGCACAGTTGGCGCAGTCAATGAGTAGTAATTGTTCTAGGTCTAGGTATTAGGTGTATGTGAATTTGGTTGTTTGTAAACAGCCAAAACAAACTAACCTTCAACTCCTTAGTCAGGAGGTAAGTGACAATAGTAGTGAGTGATGAGAAGAATGGAGCAAGGAATACGCACACATTCCGAATGTCTATGGTTATGTTCAGGAACTGCATGATGTTGTACAGAGTGGCCGATGTGACCATCAGACCTGGGTAGATGGTACCTGGAGACAATAATTTAAATTACCTAAGCATAATATTCAGTTGGACGTAGGTCGCTTTTAACCGGCTTATCTGAAAGTCATTGGGGAGTATTTTGTTCAGCAGTGCATGTCTTGCGGCAGATATGATGATGATGAAGCATAATATCTATGATTACTACTAAGTAAAATAACTTAGTATTAAACTGAGTCTAATAATAGCAATTTAGTAAAAGTACTAACAACAAAGTTTAAAATGTGCAGTTTAGTAATGCCAGCCGGTAATCGTCATATCAGCATAATATTATTCAACAATTCGGTCTCAAACATGTTTTATTACTATAAACAACTTACCACCAATGATACGTCCAAGTGGGTACCATGCTCTATCATCAAACCAATTGTGGAAGTTATAGAACCCTTCTTCAGTTAGATATCTAGTTGTTCTGTAGTTGAAATAAGGGTCAAATTCGTGGATCACACTCTCGAAACGTAAAACTGAGAATAATCGTGTTCCGAAGGCTGAAAAAAAAAATTAAACATTAATGCATAATAATATAGGAGGTACAGTTACGACATTCGAGAATGAAGCATGCAGTTAAAACTTGGCAACAAAGGTACGACACGTCAATTTGAATAAAGTATTTTATCGATCAAACTGATCGCAACGTGTATGATAGGTACTACCTACAGCCTTGTAGGATGGGTTTTTCAGTACGATGCCGGGTCGACTCTGCGGTTTTTCTATGCGGGGTTTTTCAACCCTATTATGAACCCAATAAATAAGATATCTACCTGAATTTGCTTGAATAGTGTAAAACAACTATCACATAATATTTGTTGACGCTAAGCCAAACGACGTTTACTGTTTTTCTAAAGTTGCTACATTTTATCGCCATTGCTTATCACAATAGGACCACGTAAGTCATTACAAAAATCGATCTAATTCATGTTTTAACGATTACGACTTGATGTAGTACAGTTCTAATACAAGTCTAAATGCTAATTAACTCTTATAAATACTCACATAATATTGCTGCCATTGATAAAACAGCTAATTTTATAAATGTTAGTTGTTTGTCAGACGAAAGCTGCGGGAGCTTCGTCTTAGGTTGCACCTCCACCGTCATTTTGTGTTAGTGTTATATTCCTTGTTTCTAATATGTTACATAAATAATCCTGTTGGACAATATTTTCAAATAATTTTAAGAATTAATTCGCCGGCAACCTATCCCTTTTCGTTTTTCGGCGACGCAAATTGACAGATCATGAGCGGCGTGGCATACTTTATTGCCATATTTAATGTACAGTGTGGCCCTATAAAATATGAAGAATAAAATATTATACAATGCAGTTTTTAAAACAATCTGATTCTTACTATTAATAATTTACTTAATTAGATACTCAATGTTAATTGCGTAATCTGATCTCGAATACATGTTTAAAAAAATTGTGATGACAAAGTGTGGATTGGAGAAAGATTGTGCTCGCTCGAGTGCCAAGGTATATAATTGAGAAATATCTAAAAAAAAATAATAGTGACGTGATAGAGTGAGCTGTAATAAAATAAAATCTATCAAAAATAAATATCTATCGATAAATCCATCGTTGGAAGAACGAATCGTATCAATAAAAATGACACTGACATTGACATTCTATTATTTTGAGCATATAAAATCTTTTGTCTCTTTCACTAAACAGTTTTTCTATTATAGCTTTCTCACTCTGGGTCGAAGTATTCTCAACAGATTTTTTAAATTATGATCTGTCATTCTGACAATCTGAACAACCCGAGTCGACCCACTCAGACAGATGATTTTCGGACAGAAAATCTTTCTTTTCTGTCACTGTCTCGAAAAGTCGAAAATAATCTCGGGTTTTTGACCGTCTTTCTTCCAAGTTCCGACACTATTACAAAGAGTATAATAAGTTTATGTGACGAATATACATATCGTAGAGACCTATAAAAAATAACTCATTTTTATTGTTTATTCAGTAATTTAGTTTTTACTTCATAGTTCTCGTAAAAACGAGATAAATCTGTCTCTCGTAGTTCCGTATATGACTAATACATTGTCGGAAGGAAGATCAATTTGGATATGAATTGTGTGGAACTCTAATAGTGGTGTGAAATTATTTGGCGGGTTATTTTATGTGATGTCTGACGGAGATCCATCTCTCGAAGAGGATGTGCCAAAACCTCTACTTAATCAAGAAGAAAATGTGTTTACGCCGAAGATAGCGACTCCTTTATACACGGGCGGCGTGAAACTGCATCACAAGAGATCTGACACTGGAGAGACTGAATCCTTCTTGTCTGATGCGCAAAGGAATGAGCTTGCATTCCAGCAACTATTCCAAGATGGAGCTGGAGCATTACACGAGGTAGATTTTAAAATTGTTTGGGCTGTTTAATGGTTGTCATGGTCAGAAAAAGTGAGCTTTATGCCTTTAAATATCTCTTACTAATTTGTGGGATTCTTTGGTTTCTAGAATTATTAAATCTGTCGGTTTTTAAAACCAGACCTATTTTATGCAAAACTTTGCTTTCATGACCATAAGCAATTAACTTTTTCAAGGTAAAATGAGGTTGAACTTTGCTTTCATTATAAAATTACAGTGTACATAAGTACAGAACATTATCAAATAGGGGCTAACATTCTGTTTTTTGTTAATTATTATTGGAGTATTTTATCTAATTTCAAAATAAATATTAATCAGAACAGCTAGCATAATGTGTTTTCAGGATAAGATGTGTAAGGACTATACTTGAATAAAGAAAAAAAAAACAAGTTTCCCTACCTACCATTTAATTGTTAATTTATAGCACTGTGATAAGGCCATAAATAATATATTTATTATCAAATGACTGTACATTTTTCGCTGCAGCTGATACACTTATCAGCTCAGCATTTTTTTCTCACCAGCACCAGTTAGTACATATCCCACAGATTATAAAAACAGACATGGTAATTTCCCTCCATTTTTGTAAATGGAAACTGCAAGCATTGTTGCTCTTCAAAGGACAATGACCAAACATGTATGGAGCTTATATCCAGAATCGCTTAAATGTAGGTATAGAAATATACTGAGAAAAAAACTCTGCTAGTTTCAAGTCACAGAGGACTTTATCACATAATCTGTCACATATAGTCAGTCCATGAATTATTTTAATTGACTGGGTTTTATTGGGCATTATATGTTGCATCTGTATTTGGCCAGTCTTTTCTAGAGATGTCCCACTGAGTTAATAGCCACTAAAGCTACAGGGTGCCAATAAGAATAATAAAACTTTTGTCATAGTTCTACTCTATAGTCACTTGTTGATTTACATTGTTAGTAAAAGTAATTATAATGTATGTACCTAACATACAAATAGACAATTAGAATCAATCCTTGACTAAATGTAATATCAATTAACTAAATACTATGAATGAATATATACCTAAATGAATTTTGGCTGAATGACTGCATTGTTAAAGGTATTATTAATGGTAAATGATAATGTAGCAAAACTGTTTAGTGAAAAATTAATAAGAAAAACCAGATTACATACCTGGCTAAAAATACTGAAGAAAATAACTATATTTGTGGGATGAAATTTAATGAAGGTCATGTAAAAAGTTTTTATGACAATTTTCCTCAACTGAAAATAAATGTTTTGTTACTTTGTGTTTGTTCAGAATATTATGTGATAATTCCAATACAATGTTTAATCATTATCTGATAAAAAAATAATAACAAAATATTTATTTGGTGTAAAAAGTCAGATAGTGTGATGGCTTATTGCAGTTAATATTTATGTACCTATTTATAAATAATTAGTTTTGTAATATTATGTACTACCCACTTAATTAAATACATTCATTAAGTCTATTTGCATGATTCCAGAAAAAAAAAATTAATTCATCCTTAAATTTTTTGAAATCGAAATTACAAAAATCTTTTTTTTACTTATTCTCTAAATAAGCTACAATATTAAAATAGCATTTTACTCATAGACATTAAAAATATATAGGGGCAGAATTACATAACATTCCGTTTTAAAATTAATCTGTCAAATACCAAGCGGTCACCGGTGACCGCGACCTATTGTTCTTTAATTGTGTCTATAAAACCGGTACTCGACGAGTTAAAAATATGGAATAATATGTATCCATAAAAATGTATATTCAGCAGCTTCGAAATTGACTTTGAATATTAAACAAATCAAATATTAAATAACAATATCTATAAATAATGTCATAAGTACAGAATCAATATATAATTTTCCCTCACTTATGTAACTTGTTGTTTATGGAGCTGATGACCTGCTTTTCTGCATTAGTTTCCTTTTAGGTCAATGTCAGCAGCAAAAAAGCTATAACCGTAATAAAAACAAAAGATTCACTTATAATGTGTAAAAAGATCGTCACAGATCAAAATAATATGCTAAAATCCTAATCGAGTAGTGTCGCGCGTTTACGCGCGTACCTTTTTTTTCTCAAAAAATATAGTGAAGTTATGTCATGTACGAAAGATATTTTGTTTCTATTGTTTTTAATTCCTGGGGAGATCTGGTTGAGAAGATGATAGGAGCGTCTTCATCCGTGTTTTCGTGGCTCTTATGTTCGACTCCGGTTATCCGAGTTTGTCCGTTGTATAGATTATCTAATCCTCGTTAAACTAATTAGAAAATATTAAATATGCCCTAACGCAAATGCCTACATTTTTTACCTTCGTTAAATTCACCACGCTAATCGCAATGTTGTTTAGCTAATAAAGATAAGTGCTATTCGTAACTGCTCGTTACTTTAAAAAATAAGGGTTAGTACTCATTGGCTTAGAAGTACATGCGATTATTGTCCGAAAATGATTGCTGAGATAAGAAATAAATCCACTTGAAATCTCAAGTTTATTATTATAAACATATTACATAAAACAAGGAGCTCCTTGATAAATGTTTACAAGTTCACTTAATATACAATGTTATCAATTAGATACCGTACTTGTATTTTCTTTATCGTGTCTAATGTTTGTCCAAAACTAGATTTACTACACTATCAGTTCGTTTTGTACTGGATTCGTTGTTAGGCCAAGTATAGGTGGTTTATAGGCACATGATGGTTCATGTTGAGTGGTTTAATCACCAATATTTTCCTTATACATTACAACAGGAAATTAAAAACAGAATTGGCGAAAAGCGTTATCTTCTCCTCATTGATGAAAATACAAGATTAAGTAAATGACTTTAAAAGTACTTACGTAAATAGCATGATAAGGTTTCCTATTAACGTCTTTTATAATACAAAGAGAGGTTCATCATCATAATTTCAGCATGATATGACTTGAACAAGCAAAGAGTCTGTACACTGACGATGGCGACCGATAATAAACAAAATACTTGTCTCTGACGATTTGCGTGGGAATGGATGGGGTATAGGCGGGAGGTCACGATGCCGGACACACGTGTTAAGCACTTCGAGTCAAACATTTCAATAAACGAGATTTTTATTGTAACTTCCGTGAGACACGTGTTTATTGTTGTATAATTTTAGTAGCTGATTTACAGTTGCTTATCGGCGTGTACGATTTGCGTCCGTGTCTAAAGTAACATGCGGTTTTAGCAAACAATATAAAAGCACTGCTGCAGAATATTTGTGTGTTGTTGCTTTTCCTTTTGACATTGACCTTAAGTTTTGCAGTAAATATTTGGCCGCAATCCCAATGTTATGTAAGGTGTAAGGAATGCATCGCCAGCAAAGTTTTCGAGCCAGTCGCGTCATGCGTGTCGCGTCGCTTTGGCTAGAAGCCGCGGTGTGCACCGTCCCTTACACATTAGCGTGCCGATTACCAACATTTACCCTCAATATACCTCTGAACAGTTTCCTAACCAGTCGTCAATACACGAGTAAATTCATTTTTATTAAAACAATAATGTAGTGCTGATAGCAAAGAAACGTCATTACCTATACCTATTTACTAACAGTGTAAAGCCTAACATGTGATGATTCTTGATAGATAGCTCGTATCTCAAACTAAACTTGTAAGATCGCTGGTCAAACAGATGATTCAAACTCAAGTCAGCGTTGAATAGTGAACGAAGCAAGGTCAGTCGCTACGTGTCTGTAATTTGAGAGTTTATGCAGTTTTTGTGAACAATGTTGATAATGAGACGATTTATTGAAGGATACTGCTAACTAGTGTATATTTGGAAACGCTCAAAATTAACCAATAAGAAGTGTAAAGAATTTAAAATATGCGTGTGTTATCACAAATTGTTCTAATTATCTGTTATCTGCGCTAAATCTAGTGTTGTTGAACCATTGACGTGTGTTGTGATTCAACAATGAGTCTTATGTGTGAATTTATAAAGATTTTTAGCATGACAATTAAGGAACGTGTTGTGGAAGACGGTGACTGATTCGCTTACTGTTTGGGGCAGGCGGAGAGGGAGGCCCAAGAGAACGGGGAGCTTCAGGCGATGTCGGTGCTCGGTTCGTACCCGGACAATCTGTCGCAGGACATGAACACCGACCGGTGAGTGTAGCCTCACAAATTCACAATGCAAATGAACTCCGCGATGACGTTTAAATGAGTCACCGACAATATTGGCAGGTATTCCGTATTTGTTGTGACTAAAAACAAATGTACATTGGGGAACCGATTCGTTATTGCCTTTCTGCTGAAAGACTGATCGTATGTAATATGTATTATGTAACTCCAAATGCTACTGATATAAGCTGTTAAGCCCACGTCTTTAATATTTTCTTTGCTAGATCAATACCAGAGCGACGCGACAGTATTTTGAAGATCCATTTAGTACCTATCTACAGGGCGTAAGTTTTTTACGCAAAAAACAAAATGATCATACTGTTTTGTGCTTTGGGGAGATTGACGTCACACAATGACAATGGTTAACTCTAATTAATATATGCATAGGTAATTCCCAAAGGTTTACCAATCATGTAATTTTTGACATTTCCTTCATAAATTTTATTCTGTCTTTTCATTAGTCTATCGATATGTATTAAAACTAATGTCTACTTTTACTGAACAAAGTGGGTTACTTGTTTCAGTGAATTAACACGTTCGAGGACGCTACCACTTGAGTCGGGTTTTCAAAATGACACAGTACATGTCTATACAAAATTATACGACGTATCAGTACGTATTGTCCCATGAAGAAATATCGTTTTAAACATATCATGACACAACCGTTTTATCACGTCAACGTGTATATGCATCTAGGTAAGGATCCGCCTCGTTGGAGATGTCGGAATCATCAAACATGCTTATCTTGTGTCTTATTTTGCTCTTATATCCATCTAAAACACACAATAACCCATTAAACATCAATTTCACACTGTAAAATCATTAATTTGCATTAAAGTAATGTACACAGTGACACAGCCGCGCTGAATGTAGGAGCGCGGGACGTATAAACACGTTGTGCGTATGTGAATACCGTAACCGCACACTATCAACGACACTTATTTTAAATAGTTCTAAACTTACCCTACGTGACAGTACAGAGTTGGGTATTTTATATGTTGTGACACAAGATACATTTAAAAGGATTTTTACTTGAACTTTCATCGGAAATGAACGTTCTGCCGTATAATTTAAATGTTATTTGAACGTCATCGTACGTTGTGCGATATTAAAATCTCGAACGATGACGTATAATCTCGTTCTGTCCTCGAACGTGTTAAATGGTTTCTAATGTATTTATAAACTAAATGATAAAGCTATATTTTGCCGGCTTGGTTATATAGGTACATATTTCCGTTCGATTATTATGATAGTGTCTTTCATAAAGCCGTTACATATAAAAGCAAGTCGATTTTTTTATATATTTTCTATTTTGATTCCAAAGGCTTAACGAATGGGTTTACCTATCTAGTAAAGGATAGATTCTGATATTGATAGCTGCAACATGACATTATTTAACGTAGGTCTGTTACACACACAAATGCTGAGTGTAACTGACGCATAATTTGACGTGTGGAAGATTTGTCAGACGTCAGATGAATGAGATATTCTGAAACAGGCCTAATGTTTTAATTTTATTTAAAGGTATAATAATTATAGGTACTCACAAATAATAAATATTACACGTAATAGTCGTAGTTAATACGTACACTGTTTTTATCACAGTTACTAAAATAAATGTTTTATATTAATAACATTCACACTACTTACTTAATTAACTACCTAAACTAAATTGTAACTGGTGTGTTTTGACTTAATTGCGAAAATGGTAACGTTTTTCCTTATATTTTTTGTATATTGTAAAAAGGTTGCATTGTTTCAAATCGAATTATGGTTCTCTATGGACAGTTTTATAGTTACATCGACCCTATTTTATAGTCTAGGTTTTATTTTATTTACGTTTATGATTTGATGCTTCATTGTAACCTTGACTTTGGCTTAAAATATCTAGGTAACTACGTAGGTGGGTATTTGAATTATTGTGAAAGATCTATGCATTAGCTTGGTCTGTGTTTACTGCTTACGTCATGGTCCTGTGGTTTTGTGTCGTGTGAAAATATAAAATAGAGGTCAAAGTCTAATGACAAGATATTACTTGATAGGCTATAATTATTTTTAGGTGATGGTAAGGCTTTTTTTATTTGTTTGATCAATTTTTTTTTTATAATTGGAACAAAATGAATGCTGCGCTTTTTCGCGCGTTTGCATGACATGACTTTCAAAATGGCGAGCAAACATTGAAATTCATGCATGTTCTTTTTATGAAACTGGCCGGTTATAACTTTATAGGTGATGGTAAAATATTTATTAATAAACATTCGTCAGATTCAGTTTATTTCTATATTTATTTCATTTAAATATTACCCAATGGCAATGTTTATAAGGTCGACATTTGTTTACGATTGCGGCACGTAGATTGAATAAATCGTTATTCCGAAAGTCGACAGCTTGGACGATATTCCTTCAAGTCGTTTCTGGGAAACGTGATCGATAACGACCCGTTGCCTGTCCTAATCGTGTTCCGACATTTTGCCATTCTTTTGTTTTCATTATTTTGAGAGCTTTTCTTATATAAGTTTTGACTTACTATAGAAAAAGAGACAAGACAGTTCTTTATTTAATTTTGATTTTAAAATACAGTCCAGTTTAATAAAAATAATATCTAAATTGAACTTTTAGATATTGCGAATAGATACCATAGTCGTAAATACATTAGTATTCCTATGTATATGCGAAAATAATATGATTAACAAAGAGCATAAAGTTATGGTCATGTGGAATGAGGTCATTGCACCCATGAAGTTAATTTTAGGCATTGTAGAATCGATGACTTCCGTTAGTAATACATGTATTGTATTAGCAGTAACACCGGAATAGTATTCAATATCTAGCAACCATATTAATACTTGATTTTCGCTACAGTCAATTTAATAAACACAAATTATCACTCTGTGCATAAGCAAACACTGGTTAGGTGCTAAAGTGCAAAATTAAATAAATGAGTGATCATTGATGTCACACGGCAAATGTTTCTCCAATAAATGTCCTGGCAATTCTACAATTCTAATAGAGTGACGTCATAACCACAGCTTTGTCTCGCTACTCACAATTGACCAATTGATTCACAATTCTACTAATCATTGATATAGATACGTACTTTATCAAACATAATGCAGTAGAAAAGTCTTGGCGCCAACTAATTTTGTCCTGTATTAACATTGTTTATAGAAAATAGTTACCTAACGCCTCACTGGCATTGCAATGTGTCCCCAAATGCAGATTAATTTCAGGGACAATGGTAGCGAAGCTTCAACCCGTCCAGCTGAAGACTTTACATGTGGCGATCCAGCCATAACCCTTGGTCCAAACGGCAATGGCAAACCTCCAGCCAACCATTGCTCGTGAGTAATTTGATCAAACATTTGATCAAACGATTTGTTCGCCGAACTTGTCCTTCGTTTGGCAAAGTTTCATACATTACATTATTATAGTATTTTTATATTATTATATCTACATTATTGTCATACTATTGTCTTGTGTGGTGTGGAATAACGGCATGGGTTTGGCTAACAAATAACGTTTGGCATGTGTGTTAATTTTTTCAAGGGCTTTTTACTTGACCTCCGTCAGGTTTGATATTGAATTTAGTTTGAATCAATTTTCCGTAATGTGACTGACAATAATGTGGTTAAACACTCTGTTTGTTTGTCATAATCACAGAAGTTCACCTAGTATTAAAACACATGATTTGCACGTCGAGGAAGGAAACTCCTAATTAAAATGGCAGAGGATACTGTTACTCATGTATGACCAGAAATGGTTTGCGTAAGGTTTATAAATAAATAGTGATTTGTTAAATGAACATTGTTAGCGTTGGTAAACATTGAATTATACGGGGATGCTTCATAAGTGTCTTGAACTTTGAAAATGGAAATATTGACGTACTGCGAATCCCCATGGTGGTGTTTAAGGAAAATAATCAGTAAGTTAATTACTTTCCCACGCATATTTGCATTAGGGTCAAGGACAAACGGTATACATACAATAGTTAATTACATGTTATGTATACATACTATTGTTACTGTAATTACTTAATTGGTCAGCTTCGAAGTGTTCGCAAATCACGTTAGCAGTTTGGTAATGCCGATATTGCAAAAAAAATATGGTTTTTGTTCTACTTTGGAGACCATCTGCGTCCAGCATCCATAAGTCGTTCATAGTAGAAATTATGATTCGCAACTTTCTAATACATTTCTAAGACCTTTTTTCCAATAAACAGGATAGTGATGGGAGGTATTTTGAATAATCCTTCCCTCACGTTCAACGATGGTGTGCGCTCGATAGACTATGTGCTAGTATGGGAGGCGTTCAAGGAGGACGCTTCTACGGCAGAAGCCTACGAGCAGAGGAAGATTTTCGAACAAAACCTTGAGCTCGAAGGTCTACAACTCGAACGAGAGGCGCCTGAAAACTTGTATGGACTGAATTTTGTTAAGGTAACATAATATAACACAACATAACATAACGTAATATCACGCCTTTTATCCCCGAAGGGGGTTTTTTTAAGTTGGGAAAACCATCGAATGACTACTCCCACCTGGGTGAGGCGGAAGGGAGTGTCAGATTCTTACTGACTAAAAACCACCCCGTTCCTTCTCCTGCACGTCGAGCCGGAGCCCGAATACAAATAGTTAATGTTAATTTAGGCAATACGATTCATGCACTACACAGTACGCTGTATGTATGCACACAGTGGCAACGTTGCTTTTTTGACCCAGACGGGAATGTGTCACTATCGATAAGCCGTTCCCATCTTGCAAAGATGACGTAACGATAAGTAATTATTATAGTTTGTTAAAAATTGATATTGTTTGAGAAGCAGTCATTGATTTGTGATGCCCCTTTCAGTTTCCACGACACCCGTGGAAAAAGTAGGAATCATACATTGTAGACCTGTATTGTACCGAAAGCTAACCTAACCATCTATTGGTGGTCTTCCGCTGTTTTTGGTATATGGACCGACCACACTTTATTGTCTCTGTGTATTTAAATGTCAGTATTGGAAAGCCCTGCATGACACAGCATAACATTAAGCTGAGAATATTGAGCTATCGCCAATCTAAAGGGTTACCGGGGCGCCAGTTGGAGCAGCAGGAGTAGGAACGGAGTCGTTTTTAGTCAGTAAGAGTCTTAACACTTTCTCTCGCCTCACCCAGGCGGGAGAAGTAATGGGATGTTTTTCCCCCGTCAATAATCTCTGCTTGATTTTATCATGGTGTCTTCTTCCAGATCCACGCTCCCGTGTCAGTGTTAAGAGACTACAGTGAGATTCTGAAGCTTAGGATGCCGATGAAGGTAAATATTATGCAGTAACACTTCTAAACTAAACTACTAATGATATCTTAGGCGCAGGACTCGTGTTATGGCTTTATATGGTTCTAGACAAGGGCTTCGCTTCAGGTAGAAGATGAGATACCTTACTTATGAATGTTGTTCTTCAATTTTTGTCTGAACGTAATTAGATTTTGAACCGTGACCTTCGGAAATGGCGAAGAACTTTGGCTATACATAATAAGTTTCTTTATTGCCTTGTAGGTATATGCTATGTTATTGAATAACAAGCAGGTCAGTCTACTTAGTCCAAAAAAATCCTGATTCTCTATTGTTGTACTGAACGTTCAGGCTAGTATACTTGGTCCAAGATAAATCCAGAGGCCTTAGTACAAATTTGTTTTTCGTTGAGAAACGAGTAAGCGTTCGGCATTGTGATTGGCCGGCTGGCCGGCTCCAATGAACCAACCAATCAGAGCGCCGGACGAGGTTTCGTTTCGACTACTTTAAACGAAAAAGAAACTCTTACTAAGCCCTCTGATTGTCTATCGTTACGTATCTGTTTATCGTTGTACTAAACGTTCAGGCTACTCTACTTGGTCCAAGACAAATCCGGATTGTCCATTGTTGTACTGAACGTTTTATGTAACATATTCAGTTAGAAAATATATCCCAAGTCATGTAAAAATCACAATAAAAGGTTATTCTGATTTCACCACAAAATCTAATTGCGATCAGACATATCTCCAAACAGTAGTACAATAGTTTCCTTTGAACATTTGTTAGGCTGTGGTCTGGTTGAAGTGGAGCGACAGTGACTGCGGGCAACTCTTGATCGACAAGTTCACCGCATCATTTGGTCCACATTCGGTACTGTGGGAGTATTTTGTAAGTTGGACGCGATGCTTTGCGTTCACAGCTAGCTGGAGAGCAGTTTGGTATGAAGCTGTTGAATATGCGGCTGATATTCGCTATGATAATTCAGCTTCGATCTGTCAGCCCTATAAGCAGAGTATATCAACCTCGAAGTCAGCTCTAAAAGAGGTTTTGTGATCAAATGGTGATTTCATATGACGAAATAAAGCCACAAGTCGATAAGTCATTTGCGCCCGAATACTGAAAGGCTACTCATCTTTAAGCCGTGCTTAAGTATAGTTCTGTCTCTACAAATTATTTGTAAAATGACAGAGAAGGCACGATATTTAAGTACAACTTAAAATTGAGTATCCTTTCAGTATTCGGGCGTTAGTCATCTATGTTCTATAATATCCAGTATTATTTCCTGCACCAATTATGATGGAAAACTATACTTGGTTGAACGTTACTCTGAAAACAAAGTTTAGCTAGGTGCCTTCCATCAGACCTAAGTTGCTTTGTTTCGCAGATTTCGCTCTCGCTGTCGCCTTGCCTCAATGTCGTGACATCATAGCCTTAAATATATAAGCTTTTCTATTATAATATCTACATTGAGGAACAAAATTGATCAGTAAGGTTAGACCTAATACAATTTTCTTTTTCAGAACCAATAGGATATGTTTTTTAATAACTTTACAATTTTTAGTTTCATCGTGTGTTTAGTTTCGTATAGAGTGCAACATTAGTATAAGAATGTTAACAAATGCATTAGTTGTGTTGTGTCGGATGTCGATATTAGATGTTTGTTGATGTTGTTGGCACAGCACTAATATGTCGTGTATAGTTTATTGTCCTAGACATACTTAATGACCATTAAAGATTTTACAAATCAGACTAGAAATAAAAGTTCATTTATCAAAAATATATAAAAAAGTGGGAAACAATCTGCAATAGAAATTAAACCATAACACAACAGAAATAAAGTTCTAAATACATATACATCAGTCCTTGTTGTGTACTAACTAAGGCACAGTGTACACTGCACGCACGGTGTTATAACTGCATCACATAATGTGTTATAGGACTGCAGTAAGATAAAGAAGTCTGGTCAGGCGAATGCGATAGTGCAGGCAGCATTGTATATGTCTAAGGTATGCATCAGGTATGAGCATGGCTTTGCTAACTTGGCGCTTGGCTGGGCTCCTATAATAGGGATGATGACAGGGTATGAAAATTAAAAATGTAATTAGTCCGTCAGTTAGGTAATGAAAAAATATTAGTCACGTATTTTTTATTTATAAAATGATACTTAGATATAACGAATCAAAGTTTAGGAATGGGGGCTAAAACGTCATTTCTACGTATAAAATGTACATAGAAGTGACGTCACGCGACATTTCGGATCAATATATCTTCGAAACTATTCGTATCCGTAAAAAAATAAAAAATACGTGTCTAATATTTTTTAAATAATCTACCAGACGGCCATTAAAATTAAAATTAGTCATCTACCCTATTGTTGTTGTATGTAATGTGCGCGTATATTACGATTACGACGATGTGTACGCGGTCTTATAGTCGTCGCTTTAGTTTTGTCGTTATAAGTTTGAAGATTTGAAAAATCGAAATGTTTTGGTCTACGATTTCGATGATCTGTTCTTAAAAAAAAAGCTGTGTAGCTTTTAATTAAGTAAAGACGATAAAAAGTAATTAAAAGCAGTCTAAGAGTAAGGTAAAGTTAAATTGTTAATAATTAATTTTATGTGTAATTGAATTTGGTTAGTATGGTAAAAATACCGTACCGTTTTATTTTTCTTATTTATTTATGTGTAAAGTGTATTTTGGAGGAAATTAGTTGTTTTATCACCTCCCGAGAGGAATACGTCGAGTTACAATTCATCCTGTATATCGTAGTTCTTGCTTAAAACGAGAAATGAAAGACCTTTCCTGTTTTCTTTTGTAAATATGTTCGTCCTACCGACATGATAGAACAAAGGTTTCAACCTTAGTTCTGTAAGTTGTTTATAAATATATTTTATTTAATACAAACAAGTGTTTGATCTCAAGATATTGTACTTAGTTTCAGGACTATAGGTTTCAAATATAAGATGATATATGTTTTGTGTGTCAACCGAAAATTACTGCTATCTTACTACTATACTGGTTGAAAAAATTCTTCCTCGAAGTACATAATTATTATGTTCAATATTTTTTTTAAATTTATTCTAAAAGCGTGACATAGATAGCAATAGTTTTTGAAAAAAGAATGTTGTAATACATTGGCTAACTGAGGGGGCTTAGTTCGAGTATTTTTTTTATGTTAACGCGAACGTTCAGCCTTCTGATTAGTTGGTTAATTGAAGCTGACCAATCGGAGGGCTTAAAGCGGTAACGTTTCGATCGCGTTTGAAAGAAAAAAGAACTAGCTCTAAACCCCTCGAAGGTGTTTGGTAATTCTTTATGTTTCACCTAAAATTAACATATTCTGACTAATCAGCACTTATTGTTAATTTTAATATATTTGTTCTAATTTTGTACAAGTATAAAGGTTATATGGTATAGTTTTATTAGTAATGAGTAGGTAATGTCATTCCAAAAACGTAAATAACATGCTACACTAGATCACTGTCATTTAGTTCTATAAAGTACAATCGGCAAAAGTTTTGGAGCCTAGGTAGTCAATGCTATGGAAAAAGGAACATATCTATGGAGATAAGATAATTCTGTTCAATAGTTAATCATGTTTTAGGGCCGATTTTTCAATACTCGGTTAAATTTTAACTAAGGAATCACCTTTTAATATTGACAATTCTTCTATACTAAATGTCAAATGTCTATTTTATTCTACAGTTGCTTTTCTACAGTTCATTAATTGTGTATTGAAAAATAGGGTCTTAGAGAAAAATCGTCATAAATAAACTCAGTACACACATAATTATAAAAAATCTGTTCGTATACTAAACTATAAGAATCACAGTGATACTGGACTTTCTGCATAAGTGCGTACTTTATTAAATTTTAAACGTTATCATGCAGTAAAATCCGATATTTTGTCGTTTGTACTTTGTATACATTTCAAGTTAATATAAAGAACACTCTGTAGTGAGATGACGCACTACATCAATTTATTTAATATTAATTTTTAATTTGTCAACACAGTAACTAATTCTGCTAATTTATTTTTAAAAAATTGGAAAATTCATATTAAAAATAAATGTGCTACTGCCAGCTATTCATTGCTTGAAATATATGGTTATACAAATATCTTTATGTATCCCAAAATTGTCTTACAACTTATATCTAATTTACAGACTATAAAATTCTATAATAAAAACATAGACATTGTAATGCATAAAAATTAATAAAGTTAAATAACTAATTTAAAAAGTAAAAACAGAATACGCTGTCCAAAACATATCAATACAATTATCAACCTTATTACAAAGTGAAACGGTTGGAAATTTATTTGGTAGTATACAGCTCTTAGTGATTTGCTTCTAAGCTCCCATACTTGGCGCGTTGGTCCAAAAAACATTAAAAACACACAACCAAGTCATTTAAAAAGATTTTCAATCTTATCCCAAAGTGATAGGGTAGAAAATCTATTAGAATGATTTGCTACTAAATTTCCATACTTGGCGAATTAGTTCACAGCTTTGAAGGACGTGCATGAGAAGACGAACAGTTTTGTGGAACAAGTGGACGCTTGCTGGGACCAGTTCATGTCGAAGATACGCGTCGATACTGACATGTTCCCTGAGAGGAAACATAGACTCACTGCCATATACTCGAAGGACAAGGAATATTTGTGAGTATTATTGTATTGTTTAAAACTGCCAACGAAGTCTGTCAGTCTATAGGCGATTCCCTTCTTTGTTATTACTGTTCCCCTTAAACTGTCAAACACCGCGAGGACACCGGTGACCGCAACCTATTGGTCTTTAATTGTGTCTATAATGACGGTACTAAAAGGGTTAAAGGTTAGCAAAATTCTCTCTTAGTGTTCTCCCATACTTTGCAAGTAGCATACGTTGTTAAATCTTAGCAGCATGCTAAATATAAACAACGTAGGTCCAGTTTCGCTCAGCAGGTTCGTCAGTCAGTCAGTCACTAAGTAATAAGGATATGGGAATCGCAGTTACGTCACAGTCGCTCACAGATTGTACCTAATGTTGTTTTACCAGATTTCAATGTCACTTATAAATGTTTTTATAATAACTATCGTGAGACATACTAATGATTTTACTTAAGTAACTTATAAATGTCGTTAGGAAAAAGTGAAATTTCAAAATTAAAGACTTTTCATAATTTTGTTCATTAAATACATTTGTTCACTCACAGGCCAAGTCAGGCCTCGTTCTCTTAAGATAGGGGAACAAAACAGCCTGAAAAATAATTAATGATAATATTGCTTGCTTATAATATCATTAATTTTATTTTTCATTCATCAAAAAACAAGGAAAACCATTGCATAGCATAATAATCCCAACGTAACCTCTTTATAGGCATACTAATGAAGATAACACGATAACAACGTTCATTTTCTTGAGTTATTCACACTTTTAATCTTGTACAAAGTTGTTTAAGAACGCATTTTTGCGACCAAAATTAACTTAATCAAACAAAATTAAGAATTGCCACAGATATGTATGTCTTATTTATCTATAAAACGTCTCTTTTTCATGTTTTGTTATTTAATACGAATCTTAATGAATTGTAATAAGGGTTATTTTATTTGGTCACTGTTCCATATATTAAATGAAACATGTCAACATGTCAATCGATACTAATTTATTTTGGAAATGCATTGTACTCTTAAATCGACTTTGAAAGCAGGTTCTCATTTTGGAGGTTTTATTTAGCACTGCGATGATAAATCTTTAGTCATACATACATTTGCTTTATGAATCACTATGTTCAGTAGTCCACCCACAATAGTTGAGGCGCCTCGCAGTGTCATTTCGTTTATTATGCACAATAGGGTAGACGACTAATTTTTATTTTAATGTCCGTCTGATAGATTATTTAAAAACATTAGACACGTATTTTTTATTTTCTCACAGAAACGAATAGTTTCGAAGATATATTGATTTGAAATGTCGCGTGACGTCACTTCTCAGTACATTTTATACTAAGAAATGACGTTTTAGCCCCCACTCTTAAACTTTGATTCGTTTTATCTAAGTATTGTTTTATTATACGACAAAATAAAAAAAATACGTGTCTAATATTTTTTCATTACCTAACTTACGGACTAATTATATTTTTAATTTTCATACCCTGTCATCAACCCCATTGCAATGAGTATTTCAATGATTGTGCTCAGCACTCAGTGGCGTAACTATACAGTTACTTTCTTTTTCCGTCTCCTTGACTAAATATTGGTGTTACATTGTTCTCAAATAATTGAACTCAACGAAAGAATGTAACCAAAAATTGTATTGTTAACCTGATTGAAAAAGAGTAACCTATGAAGTTTCTTGCTCGTTCTTCTTCATAGGAATCTACACTTTGAAACGAGCAAATAGCTTCACTATAGGACTGACCTACAGACTGTCATTATTTGATATTTAAATATTTTGTATTGACGTTCAAAAGTGCCTTTCTGGTCTAATTGAAATAAATGATTTTGACTTTGACTTAACCTTTAAAATATTAATTTCAGATTCGACACGACAGCTGAATGTTTCTGGACACCTTCCATTCGTTCGCGCATCGTTCAGTTCATTCTCGACAGGAAGAAGTTCTCGGAGGCTACCAATGACGACTTCGCCTTTGGCATCACAAGACTGATATCTAATTGTACTTATAGCGCTGCCTACCCACTACACGATGTGAGGAACATTTTATATTACTACGAACAGAAAAAAATCGAATTAAGGTCTTTGACCTTTTCATTCTTCGATTCTCGTATTATGTTACTGAGATGATACCAGATACAGATTAGTAACAATTGATGCACAATGTGAAGTTGCGCGAAATTGTTGCTGTAACATTGCGCAGTTGCGCAACTTTGCGCAATGTGTAGGTAATTTTGCGCAATGTGTAGGTAATTTTGTGTTATAATCGTTCTTTGAACACCGCAATATGTCGCGCGTCAGATACGAGGTTTTACTTTAGGATATACTGGATTATTGCAATCCAAAGTAGTGAAAACTGTTCTAAGAATATTCTATAATTCGCTTTTATTATTAGCTCTGAAACAGTACGCAAGGCTAATAATAAACAAAAAAAGAATTAAATATTTTTCCATTAAAAAGAATAGCCACATCATCAAACTGTATGCAGTAACCTACTTTATTTACATATACTTAAAGTCTAAATTACTGGCAACGTTGTTGTTGCAGGGTGATCTCAAAACTCCCGGATCCATGCGATACCTCTTGTATACAGAATGGGCCGCCGTCTCCAAATGTATCAAGTACCAACCTCTAGACTACGTCAAGGATTATTTTGGAGTTAAAATAGGTATGTAGTATTCCTTCATTTTTTCAAGCGACTTGGAAATTAAAATACAAAAAGTTATTATCAATTTTTCCTTAGCAATGTATTTTTAGTGACGATTCATTTCATTATTTACATACATAACATGACATCATGCCATTTTATCCCCGAAGCGGTAGGCAGAGGTGCACATTTCGGCACTTAATGCTACTGTACAATGTAACACCCACTTTTCACTATTTATGTTATGAGTCCCATGTAATAGGGGGTGAGTCTATTGCCATATACCGGGCACAATTCCAGACTCCGTGCTACTACTGAGATTTTTTGAAAAAGCCCAGTAATACTTTGCACACACACCACGGCAGTCGCAATTGCGACCACTCGGTCAACGAGGCAGTCATTCATTCAGCTTGGAACATTGAATCAATCAAATTACTATCGACTTTATTGCTTTCAGCATTGTTAGTTCTAATCGCAACTTGTTATATAGCAGTCTTATCATTCAGAAATAAAGCGTTATTATGGTAGGTACATTGTCTTAGTCAATTGTTTCAAATTCCTTAATACTATTGGTGTATATTAATTTGTTTTGTTTCAGGCTTATACTTCGCTTGGCTCGGTTTTTACACACACATGCTCATACCAGCCTCTATTGTAGGCTTAATATGCGTTATCTACTCAGCTGCTACTGTTTACGATAATAGACCTAGGTGAGTTAAACGATATTGATACTTAGTTTTATTGTATTAAAGTCTTGTTTTCTGCAGGATGAAATGGTTTTCTTTCGCGGACTCCATTTTGTCCACGAATGCACTTGACAAGTTCTAATTCATAATTTACTTATTTTTAGAGTAAAGTTTGAAGTTTCACTGTGTGTTTTATATAAACACGTTGTGATTTTATAATAAAGTACAACAAACCGACAAGTTAAGGCGAGCCCTAATCCCCTAGTAATTAAAATAGAACGAACCGAGAAGTTCAGAGGAGTCCCAATCCGTTCCCCCAATAGTCCGCTAACACATAATTATGTCCAAATACTCGAAGGCCTATCAATTTTACGTCGTGCTTAACCGGTGGTATGCCGGAACGTAGATCTACGCGAGACATAATGTGTTTTCTATTGTATCTTATATACAGACAGTCAAGACGTTAAATATAATTCTGTCTCTACAAATTCTTTGTAAAATGACAGAGACAGCACGATATTTAAGTACAACTAAAAATTGAGTAGCCTTTCAGTATTCTTGAGTAGCCTCACAGAAAACCGACGTGAAGCAACGCTTGCGTTGTGTTTCGTCGTGTGAGTGGGGTTACCGGAGGTCCAATTACCCTCAATCTCCAGAATTCCTGAATCCCCAACGATCCTCAAACTCCTAATACCCAAAAGGCCAGCAGCGCACTTGTAACGCCTTTGGTGTTCCAGGTGTCCATGGGCGACGCCGATTGCTTACCATCAGGTGATCCGTCTGCTCGTTTACCGGCTTATGCGATAGAAATTCTATGATATAGAATTCTACCTTTAGCATTTGCCCCCTTCTTATTATAAAAAAACTTAGATTCTATAATTGTTCAAAAATGTAGTACACCTAGTTATTTATTGTTTAATTCTTATTTCAGTGAAGACGTATGCAACTACAACTCGTCAGTGAAGATGTGTCCGCAATGTGATTATTTCTGCGACTACTGGGACCTGAAGGCGACGTGTCTACAGTCTCGAATTACCTACCTCTTTGATAACCCCACCACTGTGTTCTTCGCTATATTCATGAGCTTTTGGGGTGAGTTCTTAAATTTTAATTGTATTGATATTATTAAATTGGATATACTTCACTTAGTATCAACGAGACAAACTGCAAACTGCCTTGTTATTGAGACAAAAGATTTGGAAACCGACATTTAAGTTAAGTTAGTCAATATTATTTCACTAAAATCGCTGCCACTAGTTTTTTTTTTTTATAATAATACACATTAGTATCTCGCACTGATAAATTGTCTATTCATAAGGTCAATTCTACTAAGTTTCTATCTATTTATTTCGTGGTCGGCTTTCTATTGTTTTTTTGAGTATTTTGCCTTCTGCATTTCATAACTGTATAAGATTTAGGTCTGTCTTACATTAACTTGTCGTACAAAGTGTGGGAGAGCCATGCTTCGGCACGAATGGGCCGGCTCAATCGGAGTGATACCACGGCCTCACAGAAAACCGACGTGAAGCAATGCTTGCGTTGTATTTCGTCGTGTGAGTGAGGTTACCGAAGGCCCAATTACCCTCCCCTTCCCCAATCTCCCCAATTGCTGAATCCCCAACGATCCTCAAAGTCCTAATCCCCAAAAGGCCGGTAACGCACTTGTAACGCGTCTGGTGTTCCAGGTGTCTGCTCGTTTACTGGCTTATGCCATAAAAAACTCATTATAGCCATATCGATTTGTATTTTGTTTACTTAGGCGCATGTTTCCTGGAGCTTTGGAAGCGATACTCGGCTGAGATGACACACCGGTGGGACCTGACTGGCTTCGACGTGTACGAGGAACATCCCCGGCCGCAGTATCTAGCGCGACTGGCACATGTCAAGAGAACACAGGTATACTTGATGAAACGTGTTGTTATAGTAGATGAAAAGTCGGTCAAAAAGTTGAAAAGTAGCTTACAACCCTTTTTGTGTCGCGGAGAACCTAACGGGTAACCGTGGCTCCGCCTCAACGTGCAGGGGAAGGAACGGGGTGGTTTTTAGTCAGTAAGAGTCTGACACTCTCTCCCGCCTCACCCAGACGGGAGCAGTAATTCGATGATTTTCGCCCCTTAAAAAAAAAAAATCATTTTTGTAGGCGAGTCGGTAATAATTTTGGATTATGCTTATCTGCTCTTTTCCAAATATTTTTTTTTTAATACGGTAGTTGACAACTAGTCAAATTCAATACTTTTATCGAAACGTCAAAAACGATACTGTTCTATGAATTTTGTACGAAATACTAGCTTATGACGTCATCATATTTTCGCGTCAAACAGCACACTTATATCTAAAGAAAATGCGAGAATAAATCGAAAATTAAGTATATCGGCAAATCAATGAATGAAAGTGTAACTATTTTTCAATATTTAATTGTACTGAAAAATCTAAATAATTTAGTTTTGACCCAGGAAACTACCCAATTTGGGTGGATCGAACACATAGAAAGACAAAGTGTTTAAAGAGATATCCGGCGTCAAAGATTTTAGACCAGCTCCTTGAGTACTGGTTTCCTGCCTAGATAACTACCACCATTGAAAACCATATTAGTCACTAACACCTATCTCTTATTTTCAGTTAAACGTGGTTACAGGAGAAAGAGAACCAATGGTACCATTCTGGCGCATGCGTCTCCCAGCAACTCTAATGTCATTCAGTGTAGTCGCTCTACTAGTCCTAATGGCCCTGGCTACGGTATTAGGGGTGGTCCTATATCGGATGTCCCTTTTGGGCGCCACGATATTGCGCAACGGAAATGCCCTGACTACCTACAACCCTATAATGTTTACTACGGCGACGGCTGCCTGCATTAATTTATGCTTCATCTGTTTGTTCAATTATGTGAGTATTTTCTGATTTTTGTTACATTGGTTTTGGTCCCATTTGGGCGCCATTATGTGGTAATAGGTAAATGTACCTTTTATGATGCTATATAGCGACTATGTCTCATGACTGATAATAAGTTTAATAGTTTTACGTATTCATTTACAGCTACTGTTTCATATGTCCAAATATTGTGTTCAAAATGTTTTCTTAGTGAGTCCCATTTGGGCGCCAATTCGAAATTACTTTTTTTTTGAAAAGGATTATTTTAATCGTTACCCATGCTTTACCCATCCACAATGCAGATAATGCTTGACTGCACGATTGGTGCTGTGGCTAGGCAACCGGCTTCCGCACAATCTGTAGCGGGTTCGATTCCTGCATGGAGCAACTCTTGGTGTGATTCACAAATGTGTTGTTTCGGGTCTGTGTGTCATATGTATGTGAAATAGTATGTTTGTGAACGCACCCACGTAATCCTTTAGAAAATTTCAAAATGTCCACTATATTCACACAATGACATTTTATTATTATTCATATCTTAAAAACCGCAAAATTTGTACTATTTTCAACACAAAATTCTCTCCTAGGTCTACCAATACTTAGCGGAATGGCTGACGGAAAAGGAACTCTTGCGCACACAAACAGAATTCGATGACTCCCTAACTCTGAAGATATATCTACTGCAGTTCGTGAACTATTACGCGTCCATATTCTATATAGCATTCTTTAAAGGCAAGCTCATCGGTCGCCCGGGAGATTATGTCAGGTTGTTTGGACATAGACAAGAAGAGGTAAACATATTTTAACATGTATAATTTTGACTTTGTCAGTGATTGGAGTATAGGTAATGCGATATCTGACCATGTATTAGGATTTTGTGTCGTCTGGTTTGATTCCCGGGATGAGTAGTCTTGCAAGTTTGCAAAAAATATGGGGCTTTTCTTTTGTATAAGATAATGGAAAAACTAATTTATGAGTCACTATTCCGATATATCAAATACTCCAATAAGTAATAAAATGATACAGATAATATTATTGTTATTGACTTACATAAAGATATTAAAAAGTTAATGAATTTTGATGTTTATTACCTAATCAGTAAAGTTGTGTTTTCTTTACAACATACTTAATCATTGTCATTGCAGTGTGCCCCAGGCGGGTGTCTGCTAGAGCTGTCCATCCAGCTGGCGATCATAATGGTGGGCAAGCAGTTCATTAACACCATCGTGGAGATGCTCATGCCGTACTTACTCAAATGGTGGTACATCATCAGGACTATTGGGAGGAAACGACAGTAAGAACCAAGAATTTTGTAATTTCTAGTTGTAAATGATCCTTGTTTTTGCGGTTTGTTAAGTTGGGTTTGTATTAAAATGACTTGAACTGGTTAACCCGTCGAGCGTCCGCGTTCCTTATGATCCAACGGGTGCACACGTGAAATTTGGAGAAAGAAAGAAAGAAAGAAAATGCATTTATTTGACCATTGGCACACGAAAACTAGGATCATTACAATAGAAATAAAAAATACAGTCAAAATAATAGATTTTATAAAAGAGAAAGCAGCATGGAGCATTTTTTCTTATGATCCACCGGGTGCTCATAAGGACGCTCGAGGGGTTAAGGCTGAATAAAAATATTGTCAGAGTGGACGTGTCAGGTTAATTAAAGTCTGTGAAAATTGATTTAGTTAAGTTTTTTAGAAGATCTCACTTTAGATCAACTCGACTATTATGTTTTGTTGCGGTTACTGCTCAACGCTCGCTGCGTCATATCTGTGAGCTCTTGGTGTGGCTTGAAACTGGTCGAGTTACCTTGTCAACAGTTAGTTAGTTGTACAAAATAATTAATTAAAATAAATATTTCTCTGAATCTAAATATGTCTCAGTTGTGTTGTATTTATTTATTACAGAATAAAGAGTCCCTTACAATGGGTGAAGGATTTCAAACTGGTCGATTTCGGTAACATGGGATTGTTCCCTGAGTATTTGGAAATGGGTAAGTTAATTATATCAATGCTATTGCTGTTTCATAAAAAAAACGCTCTGCATTTATATTATTTAGGTACAAAACGAACTGCTTCACCATGAAACTGCAATAGGGATGATGACAGGGTATGAAAATTAAATTAGGTAATGAATAAATGAAGTTAGGTAATGAAAAAATATTAGACACGTATTTTTTATTTTGTTATAATAATAAAATGATACTTAGATATAACGAATCAAAGTTTAGGAGTGGGGGCTAAAACGTCATTTCTACGTATAAAATGTACATAGAAATGACGTCACGCGACATTTCAAATCAATATTTTGTCGAAACTATTCGTTTCCGTATTAAAATTAAAAATACGTGTCTAATGTTTTTAAATAATCTACCAGACGGACATCAAAATCAAAATTAGTCGTCTACCCTATCCTCAAGTTGTCTGCAAAGCGGGGAGAGGGGAATCAAGTACGATTTCCCTGCCTCGGGATAATGTGCTTACCAATATCAGAAACAAATAACCAATCCTTATGTAAAATCTCTGGATGTATTTAAGTTTTTGACAGAAACTCCATCCATATAACTAAGATCAAACATCGAATATTAATTTCAGCTGTAAGAGTAAACCTTAAAGTTTATATTTAAATGTTTGTCCACAGTCCTACAATATGGTTTCGTGACAATATTCGTAGCGGCGTTTCCCCTGGCGCCTCTGTTCGCCCTCATAAACAATGTGCTGGAAATGAGACTGGACGCCAAGAAGTTCCTAACTTGCTACCGCCGGCCCGTGCCGCAGCGAGTCAACGATATAGGCGTCTGGTACCGGATACTCGACTCTATTGGGAAACTTAGTATTATTACTAATGTAAGTATTAATTACTAGCTTCTGCCCGCGACTTCGTACGCGCAATCCCGTACATATCCCATTAGGATTTTCAGGATTTTTGTCGTGTGAGTGAGGTTACCAGAGGCCAAATTACCCCCCTCCCTAGTCTCCCGAATCCCCGAATCCTCCACAATTGTCAAATTCCCAATTCCCAAAAGGCCGACAATGCACTTGTAACGCCTTGGTGTTTCGAGTGTCCATGGGCGGCGCCGATTGCTTACCATCAGGTGATCCGTCGGCTCGTTTACCGGTTTATACTATAAAAAAAACTTACGTAATCTTTTTCTTCTAGCTGATAATGGTGGTAGAAAGTGTATCCATAATTTTACTTCTATTTTCTCAGGGTTTCATAATAGCCTTCACATCGGACTTCATACCGCGGCTCGTGTATCAGTTCACCAACGGTTCCATGCACCAGTACGTCAACAATACCTTAGCAGACTTCAACATCAGCGTGTTAGAACATCCGCCCATCAAGACCACGTATAATGAAACTATGTGCAGGTGAGTTCGGACTTTATTTTGTTGAATATAAGGCTGTGTGTGACTTGTACTTTGGCGTGGTTGTTAAGTCTTAATCAAGATATAATAAGTATCTAATGCAAGACGTCTAAAAATGATACTAGCGACATAAATAAAACTTTGCCTTTAGGGCTAGTCAAGTTATGTAATAAAAAATGGTTCTTTGTTTCATCAGTTCATAAAAATATTTAGATATGTTTTATTGGGATTTTGGATCCGTCGAGTACTTTTAAACGACTTTAAAATAAAAAGAAGTTTGATGTTTTTTTTTTAAATGTAGTTTACCGAAAACTATTGTTAATATCCTCTTGTATGTTGAAAGTTGCGAGTATAATGTGTTTTATACCGGGAGCCGGTGTTTCAACAGATAAAAGGATATGATCTTTTAAATTCCATTGTAGTTTCCCCGGCTACTGGTACTACAAGGAGGGCGACAGCTACGAGCACAGCAACTGGTACTGGCACATCATGGGCGCTAGACTCGCCTTCGTCGTCGTATTCGAGGTAACTAACTGTTTTATTTGGGAAAACAAATCTAATGGAAGGTTTCTTCACTTTGATAGGTCAAAAGAGGCTTTTCTCTCTGGAGCCAAAGTAAAAATGTCTATCTAGAAGACGGCCAAAAACTTATTTTGTGACTTTACCACTGTTCCGTGACTTATGGCACATAAGGTAGTGGCGCTAGTGATGATAATTGTCCACCGAGCGATTTCGTTCGTGTTGAATTTCAACTTTCTTCAAGAAGACATCTTCTTGATGAAAGTCAGGAGCTACTATATGAGCGCCATTTTTATATTAGTATACCTTTCTACAACATTCATCAAGGCCAATTATTGTTTCGTTTTTGCCATTTTTGTAACTTTTTCAACAGAACGTGGTGGCGCTAGTGATGATAATAGTCCGATGGGCTATCCCGGATATGTCAGGGGAGTTAAGAGACCGGATTAGACGAGAGGCATACGTGATAAACTCGTTCATACTGGAGGAGACGCGCGCGCGGTCCGTGCGAGACCAAGGTGCCGCTCACTCCACGCCCGTATAGTTACGTACGGTACGCACGCAAACGCTTCGCTCGATTACTTTGTTTTTTACTAACCGCGGATGTATTTCATTGGTTTTTTTACTTTAGTTTTTGGTTAGAAATAAGAGAAAGATTTGTTTCCTTGTGATCGTGTTAATCGATGTCGATTTTTGATGTTAGTTCTATTGCACTATTATCGGAAATGTGGATCGATTAATTTCAGCGGCAAGATATTAATATGTCATAGAGGATAGTTGTGTAAGTATTTATGAGTATAAGATTAATGTTCAAATGCTCAAACGCAACTCAATTTTAAGACGTGCTTAAGTATAGTTCTGTCTCTAAGGATTCTATGTAAAATGACAGAGATGGCACGATATTTAAGTACTATTTAAAATTGAGTAGCCTTTCAGTATTCGGGCGTTAGTTTAGTTGTTGTATAGAATTGACCAAAGAGCCCTTATTGGGAATTCAAGAAACGAACATCGCTATATTTTTTATGGTGATACATAATAAGTTCCTATTCGAGTGTTTAATACCGTCATATCATAATTCTAGTCAAATATTTTAAGATTCTATATTAATTAGTAAGTTTAATAATGTTATGTATTTCCTAGCCAATGAACTACATCCGTATGAAGACTGTGTTTTGTGTGTTTGATACTACTATATTGTGACGTCACTACTATAGTAAACGTCAAATCCCCTTTAGGGAACGAAAAACCTCCACCTAGTGTGCCAAATAACAGAATTCGAGTGGTTGTGTAAAGATTGATATTGAAATTTGTGTTCTATTACGCATCTCATAAGGTTGTTTGGACCTGTACATGTCTTATGTATAATATACATACATTAAGTCTTCATAGACTGATTGATATTCAAATTTGAGTTCTATTAAGCGTTACATGAGGGTGCTTTTTGACCTGTACCTACATGTCTCATAATAAGACTTGTATAATATACATTTGGTGAATTTCATGTAGTGAGTAGATTTGGTTAACGGTCGAAGCTACGTCCAATACCTGCTTGGAATTGTCCCAGCTTATTGCTTTTGAAATAATAATATTTTTATTTATACATATATACAAAGTTCAGTAAAACGAAACGCTATAATGAGATTGTTTTAGCTGACTTAATTGTTATGTTCTTCGGCTTACACACGTAATTATTTGACTCGACTAGTTTCAAGCCTTGCTAGAGGCTCAGCTATGCTGCTCATGAATATGAGCCTCCAGCATGGCTTGAAACTAGTCGAGTCCCTCGTCAAATAATTACGTGAGTAAGCCGAAAAACAATAATTAATTTAGTATGTCTCACGAAAGTTATAACATGATTTAGCTGACTTATATATGACGTCACATATTTAAAGCTAGACTTATGACTTACCTATTGTACTGCCGTACTCAGAGACTTCATGATTACTCAACCTATTCCTCAGTAAGGATTTTATTCTGAAATCAACTGCTGAGGGCTGGGTTCAGTAAACATTCAATGACTGAGTACGGCGGTAATGTACAAGTACTGTAACGCTAGTCAATTTTAATTCGCGCTTAATTATAGTTCTGTCACTACAAATTCTCTCGACTGCCTCGTTGGCCGAGTGGTCGCAATTGCGATTTACCCGGCGGTAAGGGGTCTCGGGTTCGATTCCCGGGTCGGGCAAAGTATTACTGGGTTTTTAAAAAATTCTCAGTAGTAGCATGGAGTCTGGAACTGTGCCCGGTATATGGCAATAGGCTCACCCCCTATTACATGGGACTCATACCATAAATAGTGATAAGTGGGTGTTACATTGTACTGTGGTATAATGTGCACCTCTGCCTACCCCTTCGAGGATAAAAGGCGTGATGTTATGTTATGTTTATGCACTACAAATTCTTTGTAAAGCGACAGAGATTTTTTTAAGGGGGAAAATCATCAAATGTCTTCTCCCGGCTGGGTGAGGTGGGAGGTAGTGTCAGACTCTTACTGACTAAAAACCACCTCGTTCCTACTCCTGCCTTTCGAGCCGGAGCCCCGGTAACCCGTTAGGTTCTCCGCGGCTCCGTATCGGCATCAGCCCTATTAGGCCCCATCCATGGTGGTCTGATGGCTCTTTGAGGCGCGCGCGGAACACTCGGCGCCGTACGCTCGGGTCTGGTTCTGGTCGTCCGCAGGCCCGCGCTTACGGTGGCCGGAGATCGTCTCGCGATCCTCGACGCCCGGTGTGTCCTTAACGACGGCTGGGTTGTAAGGAGGCAGCGCTTCACTGCCTCATGCGTCCCACCTCCTTAGCTAGCATGAAAGCGATAGAGATGCCACGATATTTAAGTACAACTTAGAATTGAGTAGCATTATAGTATTCGAGCGTTGTCAAAATGTAACCTATATTGAATTCCAGAGTATCTTCTATTTTAAGGGGGGACGAAAGAGCGGGGGTTTCCTTCGAGCTTATCATAGTGTGATAGATGTGATAGGTGTGGTAGCTATCAACTGTATCATACACGCTCAATGCAGTCTTAGCTCGCGTTGTTAGGAACTTCAATTGTACTATAGCATGACGTGCTCAGAATGTGGGTGAATTTTTATTAAACTCTGAAAAATGCGACTTATGACATAAATTCATCGAAAAGAGCTCTACTAGGTTCAAGTAACATCGGGACTCATAATCATGGAAAACGGGCGCAGTGCTGTGACGTTGCTATTAGATCGAATAGTTCTTGTTTGTTTTTTACAATTTTTCAATTTTTCGAATTTTTTTTTCAAATTATATTGTGTTTGGTTGAAGATATAAAATACTTTAAAGCAATAATGAGAATTTTTTTAAAGTGTTAGTAGAAAGTATATGGAAACGTAAGGCATAGGGCAGTTTTATTTAGTGGGGCAAGCAACCTCCATTATCATATAATTATATCGGCATGAAAAATCATGACCACAAAACAGTACAATCCAATTTCACCCTTAAACCCATTATACATAAATCATAAAGTCTATTGAAGTTCCTATCAACACGTTTCAACTGATGCTCGCTTAATACTAAGTTAATTATAAGTTTATAATTTATAAAATGAGTAAATATAAGTATTTAGTGAAGAAAAGCAGGTCTGCCGATACTGTGCGGTGCTGTGTGAGTGAACATTTTACTGTACAACTTAACAGCATGTTTGGGTACAAGGATTTGGTATTAAGAACATAGTTTAACTACTAATTTAATTTTAAAGTGCATTGGAATTGAGTAAATAGTGAGTATATGTAAGTTTTTTGTCAGAAGATGTAAAGTAGACGTTATTTCTTGACTTCTATGGTTCATTTTTTAACGATAGACAATGTAGTTATTGTCTAAAATTTCATTTTATTAAACAAACTTAGTTAATTATAATGTATTCGGCTTGCTCACGTGACCGTTCGAAGAGGAACGCGACTAGTTTCAAGCCATGCTAGAGGCTCATATTCATGAGCAGCATTCTGCGATTGATATGAGCCTCTAGAATCTAGAACAGTTACGTGAGTAAGCCGAAAACATAATAATTAATTCATTTTGTCTCACAAACGTTCTAATATAAAATAAACTTAATATTAAACTGATTTATTTTAGATGTTAAGCCTAACTGCCGTACTCAGACTCATTCACTGGTTACTTAACCAAGTCCTCAGCAACTGTTTTCGACATCGACGCATTTATTATGGTTTGATAATTAAATAAATAATTTTCGTAGATCGTTAGGATAATCTATTATATATTACTATTTATTTTATTATTTGTTCTATGGTATTCTAGCAACGGACTAGTTCTGAAAATCGGCGCCACGACTCGAGCAACCGCGCTCGGGTCACGGCATTTTAGCTGAGCACTGGCCTTTTTGCACCGTGTAGACTGTTCTGTTTTTAAATGTTTTAATTTTTTTTTGGTTTTTTTGATATAACTTTCGTATTTATTGAAGAAACTAAACAAAAGCAACAATACGATTAAACTGAAATTAATATTATAAATAACTAAAAACTTATATGTTTAACACCTGAAAATTATCTTAAAAATATTTCTTAAATTGTTTATCTTGTTCTTTGTTTAATTTTTGGAACGGTGCAAATACGGTACTGTTTTTCTTTTCTTACTAAGAAATAGTTTAAGAAATCATGAAATGTCTTTGAGTACTGCAGTAAGTAAGGTCTACATCTTAATTGGAAGATAATAATTCTAAAGTTATTACATTCTTTCTTACATTCTATAGCCATAAATTTCTTTCTTACATTTTATAGCCATCAATTTCAATGCATTTTAATACACGAACAACACTGATTGGCTTACACAATAACGCCACGTAGTTAGTTCTAACACCGGTCGCCGTTTGACCATTATTGGAGAACCAAGCTTATCTCATTTAAGCTTTACGTATTTAGGCCGCTTCAGCTTCTAGAGTTTGATTAAAATTATAAATTGTTCTCACGGTTTCACATCAAAATTCATAACGCATTTTGTTCTATGATATGGGCCGGCAAACGAGTTGACGGATCATCTGATGGTAAGCAATTGGTTTCGACCATGCATTCGCAATACTGAGGAGTTACAACAGCATTGCCGGTCTTTTGGGGAAGGGATTTGAGGATTAGGGATTGGGTATAGGGAGGAGTGGGGAGGGTTGGGTGTCTTTATTCACAAATAGGATAAACATTTTTTTAACTGGTGCTTCTAAGGGTTTCTAAAATTAGATTTGAATGGTTTCTGGGAATGCATGTTTATTTATATTGTTATAAAGGACAAGAATCCAGATAATTTAAGAAATATTAGTGAATTTATAAAGGACCTTTATTTGTAAACATGATTTTTTTACAAGATTTGTAAACGATGTCAACTTGATTGGGCTGTAAAAATAAATCAAACATTACAACATTAGTTTCCATATCCTAAGATTTTATATGATATTACTTAATATCACAGTATTATACTTATAAATATTCATTAATAATTTTCATATGATGTACAGGCTTCATTAGAATGTTTGTTCCTTTTAAAATATTCTCTATTGATTTCAAACTTTGTTGATAAAAAAACAAACACGCTTGTTTTAAATTCAGTGTAAAATATACATGATGTTATACTTTTGAGCCACGCCCTGACCTTAATTCATTAAAAAAAATATCAAGAGGCTTAAACTTAGTGTTTTATATACACAACACACATCACAAGCATGTTCTTTTAAGTACTTTTCTAATATTCATTTTTCAACATTATTAATACAATTTTCAAAAATTATAGGAGATACGACAGATTCGAATTGGAACCACATAGCTTCTATGTCAGGGTCTGACTTCGATTTAGCGGCCCATGGTGATCATCAGAACATCAGGGATATTGGGAAGCATGTTGTCGGCGAGATCGACGACCAACCGCCGCCTGCGCACGTCTAGTGCCTTAAAATAACGCCATTAAAAAGTACGTATGGGTTTAAAGAGTTGTTATCTTATTGGGTCGTCGAACTAAAGTGAAAATACATTTACGTGACGTGGCGTGGCGGGGCGCCGTGGCTGCCAATAGGCTACGACGCGACATACAAGTTTACTCTAACCATAGCAAATATATGAAACCTATATGCTTTTGTCGCTCCAAGCCACACCACGGTAATGTGTTTCCGCCATTATTATTTATGTATGTATAGGTATGTGTGTCCAAAGATACTGTTTTCTATGTTAACGTATAAATATTGTTATTGTTTCGTGAAACAAATGCAGTAATATATTACGCTAGAATATTTGTCAATCAATTCTTGTTACTACCTGTGTATGGTACTTCCATTGTTTTTTTTAAATACTGATGTGCAGTCTTCTTTGTGTAGGGCCAATGTGGGTGACAAAATACCGCGAGATAGGTAGAAGTTATATTGTGTAATAGGGTAGTTTCCTAATTTTATTTTAATGTCCGTCTGATAGATTAATTTTAAACTTTAGACACGTATTTTTTCTTTTCTCACAAAATTAAATACTTTTGACGATATATTAATTTGAAATATCGTGTGACGTCACAGCGTGTCACTTTTAGTAGCACGTTATGACGTAACGACCTTCCACTCCTAAACTTAGCGCCATTTTATCTAAGTATTGCAACTTAATACGAGAAAATAAATAAAATACGTTTCTAATATTTTTTCATTATCTAACTGACGGACTAATTAGATTTTTAATTTTGATAACCTGGAAACTACCCAATTATATTAAGGCGGCTGAAATGTTTTGAGCATAAAGTATTAAAAGGTGACTTCAATATGATGAACTTTGCAGTTCAATTATAAACCTTAATGACATATAACTTGATATATAATAATTTGAGTCACCAGTACCTAGCCATAGTCTAGCAGTAGACTGTCTCGTTGGCCGAGAGGTCGCAAGTGCGACTCCCGGGCAAGGGGTCTTAGGTTCGATTCCTGGGTCGGGCAAAGTATTCCTTTTTTAAGTTTCGGTTTTCGGGCAAAGTTTTTTTTTAATCTCAGTACTAGCACGGAGTCTGGAATCGTGACCGGTATATGGTAATAAGGTCACCCCCTATTACATGGGAGTCATAACATAAATAGTAAAAAGTGGATGTTACATTGTACAGTGACATTAAGTGCCGTAATGTGCACCTTTGCCCCTTTGAGGATAAAAAGCGTGATGTTATGATGTTGAGTCACAAGAAATACTTTATAGGTACTTATAATAGGTAAAAAAATTCAGCTGTCTTAGTAAAAATACAAGCTTAAAACATACCCACATTGATGTCCATTTTGTATCTAAATGTAACTGGCTTTGCGTGTGAGCGATGTTGTAAAATAAACATAAATCGATTATAATAATAGCTATTAATATAAAAATAATAAAAGCAGTAAAATGATGCTGTCCAGTCTAGTCCCTTTCGAAAGAATTAGATTTAAAGGGAAAGACGTGATCTGAGATTAACTTGCTTGATTTTGCTTGTTAAATTTAAAAAAACTAAATAATGTATTAGCATAACAGTATGGGATGTTAGTACATTAAGGGCCGATTTTTCAATCATCAGTTAATTCTTTACTGTAGAATAAAATTAACAGATGACAGGTATGGAAGAATTGTCAAAAATTCAAACTTATTATTACTCCTATAAAATTTAATTGAGCTTTGAAAAATCGGCCCTTAGTTGTGTGATTTGACCTGCTTTGTTGCAGTCTAAGGAATATAAGGTTATAATTTAAAGTTTTGTGCAATCGCTACGGTATAAACGTGCCGTTTGACCACGGCTTAGTTAATGAATGGAGTGTCGCATGCCGTGATAATTATGGTAAATAAAATTTGGATTGCTAAAATGTGGTTAAATGTTTTGGTTAGTTGGAGGTACATTAATGCGTATTGGCACTCCAATCGTTTTGTCATCCGTAATTTTGGGATGTAACGATGATAAGATTAAATAAATCGGTGAAAGGGATGTGAACAGCAGTTTAAATTAAATCAATTAAGTGAAGAATCAAACATTTTTTTTTAAACAAATATTAAAAAGACAATAACGGTATGTAACACAATTATTAGAGTATCTTCGATGTTAAAAATGTACTTAAGGGAAAACAGGTTCAGTTCACATATCAGGAAACATTCATTTCATGTGAAAGAGAGAAAGAGAGACAAATAGAGAAAGAGAGAGAGCGAAGTCAATGATGTGTTCTGAATTTACGCAGTGAAAATTGTATTCAAACAGTCTATCTTTAAAAGTCCTATGTACTTATCATTATGGGGCTTATAAAAGGCGTGATAAACATAATTAAAAATTTTGAAACATGTATTTTAATCATTCAATCAATGTACTACTTACGAAATAAATTGTTCGAAGGTGCTCGACTAGTTTCAAGCCATGATCGTGGCTCATAACTACGAGCAGACTACACGGCTACCGAAGTCGCTCAGCAAATATGTATGGGTTTAGATAATATATATTCTAACGCTTGTTACTATCAGTTGTCTATATATGAAAGATAGTTAATATCTATATTATTTATGTGGATAAGTTGATATATTATATTACATTTTTATATTAAAAATGCGCTTATATTTATTTCATATATTATCTTGTATATTCAAGACTAAAATCGAATCTCATTAAGCATTTTCTCCAAGTATATATTATCTTTGTTAACTAACCAAAGGTTTTTTTACACTACATTTGAAATGTAGACTCTATTTGTTTAGGAATAAAGTCGCATAAACTGGATTCTCCGGTGTTTATCGATATTCAATTGTTGATGATACTCTTTTTGATTCAAAGTATATTTTAAATATAAGGTTGTATTGTACAGCAAATATCCAGCAACTCAATAGGAAAACTGACCTAAAATTATATAATTCGTGGGAGTACGATTCATTATCTGCTTTGGAAGTAGTATGTGTGTGAGTAGTCATTTATTAAAATAATGAAACTGCCTACTATTACACGAAACTCAAAATACAATTTTTGAAAAGTGGGCGTTACATTGCATAATATCAGCCTACCACTGGGGATTATAAGGCGTGACGCCACGATGGTGAATTGGGGCAACCGTTTATTGTCTCTTTAGATGGTGCTAATCTAGCAAGAGGTCAGTTTGTCCAATCACTGTAGCTGTCAAACATTTAACGTCCAATCACGTAACACTAGCTAATACTCTATTGGACGAAAAGACAAGCACACACTAGCGCCATCTATTGAGCAAAACAACGGTAGCCCCATTGCTGATATTTGCGAGTCGTTGTTGCAACTGTCCGTAGTTAGTATTTTATAAATGGCTATTTGTTTTGTCCTGCATCAAGAGGGCTATTGTAGGCTTCCGATTCCACATTAGCCAAATAGACAATATTATGTAGCTTCGTTTTTCATTGTATACATTTTTATATAATCATATTATATTAGATATTTATATTATTATGTCTGTGTGTCGTCTTAAGCTGTAAGTGTTACAAACTCGCCTGATTAACGTGTTCAGTAGGGAAACGTAGACAATTCTAGAATCTGTATAGCGTTGGCAAGAAATGCGTAGAAAATAAATGGCGGAAGTTTTTGAAGCGTTTTTTAATAAGATAAAGTTAAAATGTTATTACATTTATTTGCTTGATATTACAATAATACATTTTCGTCCTATACAATCCTATATCAGAATTTTATATTTGTTCTTATATAATAAAACATATTTTCTGAAGCTGTTATACTCAAATACTATTAATTATTTACCATAATAATAAAATCCTATAATATAAGCATTGCCTATAATGTTATTTCTTTACTTAAATGTTAATATTTATTTATGTTTAAGTATTGTCTTTGAGTATCTGTTTCATCACGATCTAGGCATGATTTTATTCTTCCGTTAATAACAAATTATATTAATAATACCAAGTTATTTCCATTACCATGTATTACTTTGAACGCCAGAGCAAAAACACATGAACCTGCCCTCAACGCCAAGTCACAAATTCCGCGCGAACTACGAAAGAAATACGGATTAAAATGAATGTATTTGTGTTGTTGGCGTCCAGGGACAGTTTATGTTTGTCACGTATGTGTGAAATTGGCGCTCAAAAGGTTAATGGAACTTATACATCTATATGTAAAAGTTTAATAAGTTGGTGAGGGATTTTATACAAACAGAACATTATGTTCTGAATTTTTAATATTATACAAATATTAAAAATAAATGTTTGATATAATTTATAACAAAGATCACGTCACGTCAACAACCTTTTTGTGGAAATATCAAAGGCCACTTCTCACACGGAGAAGGTTTGAGCATTAATCACCACGCTTGCTCAATGTGGATAGGCAATTCCAAACTTATGATAAAAATTATAAGTCCAGGTTTCGCACGAGTCTTCCTTCTCTAATGTGTCTAAATGATCTTAGAAAAGTATAATAAAGTTACTGTTACATATATCTTGTATAAAATTCCCTCACCATTAACATCTTGTGATTATATTTACGTAATTTTGTTCACGGTGCTTTTGAATCCTAATTTTACTATAAACGTTTATATTGCTAAGGAGGAAGTCCTGGTTTTGGCTGTTTTAATACCTAGTCGCATAAGTGATTATAATGTTAGTCTTTTAAACAGTGGAAATTAGATCAAATGAATATTATTCATGAATTATTGTTTTTTACATAGTTTATGTTGAATTTGTGTACCTACACTTGAAGCTTTAACTTGCCCAGGCGCAATGAGCGCTACCGTTTTTTCTCGCTAGCTAGATGGCGTTTATGTAGCAAGGCCTGTTTGTCAAATTAAATGTCTAAAGGTTTGACAGTAATAATGTTTCTATTGTATATACAGATCAAACGCTACACATCTAGTGGCGAGTAAATAAAACTGTATCATTCATTGATTGTTGAGAGAATGCGCACAATATGTTAGCTAAGTGTAGTTCGCGTAGTCAAGCAATTAGTG